AGCTCTGGAGGAGCTGAACCGCTGCAACCCTCGCTACATGGAGGACATGGAGCAGGTGTTCGACCTCACCCAGGAGGCCGAGCGCAAGAGGCTGTGCTTCTTTAAAGATGTCCTGCTGGACATCCACACACACTTGGACCTGTCTGCCAAAGAAAGGTAGGACAGACATGCACCATTCACTGTGACTAAGAGCAAATGCATGCACAGCTATCACAGCTGTTGTGTGTGTGTGTGTGTGTGTGTGTGTGTGTGTGTGTGTGTGTGTGTGTGTGTGTGTGTGTGTGTGTGTGTGTGTGTGTGTGTGTGTGTGTGTGTGTGTGTGTGTGTGTGTGTGTGTGTGTGTGTGTGTGTGTGTGTGTGTGTGTGTGTGTGTGTGTGTGTGTACACAGGGGTTAATAGAAAACTTGAGCTGTTGTCCATTAAAGGTTGACCTCTTCTTTTATTTAAACAGGCTGATGTTACCGTGGTAAAGTTCAGGCCCAAATATTCAACAAAAACACCTAAGGAGCTTTAAATCAGAACTTGTATGAAGGCTTTATTCATATGGGAAAAAAGTCTCCATCCGGCGCTTTTTTCTCTATATTTTCTTCCAAGAAGTTCGGCCGTCTCATATTCTTTTGAAGTATCTTTGATCCTCAGGCTTTCTGAAAGTCCTACAGAGATTTTCTTGAACTTTGGCTGCTTTTCTGTTAGCTTTCAGTCCAGTTTTTTCAGACTGCACATCTCAGCATACAGAGTTAAAAAGTGGACTCGTTCTAGGGGTGGGGCCATAGGGGCAGTGGCCCCTACTGAAATCCAATCGGCCCCCCAAAGTGCTGCTGTCCTGTCACTCATTTGTCCTTTGGGGGATGATTAGATCATAGGTGGCTGTAATTGCAAGTCCAAACACTAGTGGTGCTGATGAGATGCAGGGTCTTCGTGTTTTTTTTACTTGAGCTCTGATTTGGCGTGATCCGCTCTGCAGCCGAGCTTTATAACGGTACGATCAGGTTTGCTTTTGAACAATAAATACATACATGTATGTTGGTATTGCAGGATTTGTACATATTGTAAATATCTACTGTGAGTTAAGAGTTGCCTCCCTCTCTGCTGTGCTTCAGCTCTGACTGGAAAAGAAGCCATTTATGCAAATTCAACTAAAAACAAAACATTTGGAAGGGAAAAAAAATTACTTTTATGATTGGTTCCTCCCAAAAAACACATATACCATTTTAATGCTAATACTTTCTAAAAATAAAATAAAACCCGTTGTTGAAGTTTATTTTTGTCTTCATAAATTTGTCACTTATACTTTTGAGAATATTCAGAATGCCTTCTTGTTAATTTATGACTAAACACGCCAACTTTGTGATTTACCTAACTCAGTTCACATGTAAATATCATTTCTGGTAACATAAACCTTTATTCTAGAGGTTTTGACTATTTTTCCTCGCACTTTATGGTCAGTTTTATTGTCATAGATGTTTTGCCTTAAATAGTGCAAATTTGGACTTTTTTCTGTCTTTTGTCTCGTAAATGTGACTTCAACTTTGGTCCTTAAATGCTGTTGTAATTTTATAACTCATGCAGTGTGACTGATGCAGCCATGTGGGATGAGGACACGGAGAAGAAAAATCATAGATTGTTGTTGGATTTAAACTGAACACATCTGAAAACTTTGAACATTAATCTGTACATTTGTATGACTAGAGCACTCCCACTATGATCTCTGACCATCAGCATTTTTGTCCCCCAGCTTTAAGAACCTGCATTGGGACCTGGGTCAGACCATTCGTGTAGCCAACGAGGCTGAAGACCTCAGATGGTGGAGGAACACCCACGGACCGGGCATGAGCATGAACTGGCCCCAGTTTGAGGTGTGCAAACACACAAACACACACTGAAAGTACCGGTAGTTTACGATTGTTTCATTCATACTTGGAAAAACTCAAGTGGCTAGGGAGAGGGAAGTCTGGACCTTCCTGCTTAGGCTTGGTTTATGCTTGACGCATTTACTTTCCGCTTGGTGATGCGGCTCGCGGATGGAACGTGCTTCACAACTCGCAGCGTTTATGGTTCATGCGGCTCGTCTCTGCGGTGAGCCAATATTCTCCCAAACTGAACAGGGCAGCATGGAGCTCTACGGCATGCATCCAACACTACACCATAGTAGAAGTAGAAACTACTGTTTACAACATGGCACTCCAGCATTTTTAACAGCGTCCTCGTCTTTTCCGACAGTGCGAGCTATTTCGCTCCAAGAATTATTAACAACATGTTGATCACGGTGATCTCTGAGAGCTGAATCATACAAATGTCTGTATTTACGTACCTCTGCCATACTAGCTCTTGCCGGTCCGCCATGTTTTTCCGCGTCCGACCGTCCACGTGGTTAGAAAATTTCCTAGGTGCGCGGTGCGGAAAGTTTGGGCCGTGCGGAGGCGCGGTGGAGGGGCGTGGTTGTTAAAATGACGCGATTTTGCCGTGCGAACCTCGCGGACTCGTCAAGCATAAACCGAGCTTTAGGCTACTGCCCCCGCGACCCGACCCCGGATAAGCAGCTGAAAACAAATAGATGGATGGAAAACTCAACATAAAAGATGGCATTAGTGTTGCTTTGCTCTTTAGGGAAATTAGGTCACATTAATGTTAACTTAATGCTACAACCTAAGAAGTGGAGGTTGAGTCCTGAGTAGGGGCACACACACGACTGTGTGTGTGTGTGTGTGTGTGTCCACACGACGTGCTGAATATTAAACAGGTTGTCAGTGAATGCCTTGTTTTGTTACAGAGAACAGTGAGTGGGGTCAGGAATGTGGAGCACACACACACACACACTCCGGTTTATTCATTTGTCTGTGAAAAGCTGTAGATTTCACCTCGACTCTGCTGATTGGGTCGTTGAGGACTAACAAATGTTTACAGATAACGATCAGAGGGTTGCACTCATCTGTTGTGGCTCATCAGACTTCTGACTTCTTTGATTGTTTTCCAGCAGCTACGACCTTCCACAAACACGTGTTTCTACTACTTTATATTTTACTGAGCTTGTTGCTGGAATGCAGAAAGCTCATAGCTGATTTCTTTTTTAAATGTTTATTTAGAGATGTAAGATTGTGTATCAGCTGTTTATTCTTTTGTGTTATTTGTAAAAGTCACATTGACATCTGCGCCAGACTCAGGAACGTTGGTAAGTGGCACGCTAGATGCTGCAAGTCCTGGCCCCCTCATGTAAAGGTTGAGTCACATAATTCCTAGCTTACCTGTTCAAACATTCATTGTTCTGGTCGGTTTCAGTTGTACAACACAGCAGCACCTCTAAAAGGGATGTTTTGACTTCACTTGACACCTTTTGCCCATCTTTGTCACAGCTGGTCTGTGAGATCATGTTTTTTAAATGTACCTCTTTGTAGGAACCTGCTTAAACTACACATCCCAGAATGCACGTTGGGAGCTGCCCCTCCCCCTCAACTGCAGCCAGAGTTTCTGTTAATGTTCTTTTTGTTTAGAAACAGAACAAATTAAATTCAGACAATTAGGTTTTGACCTTCTCAGTAAATTATTTTAAGCCGATGAGGAAAAAGCTGCAGGAACCGAGCTTCCTGTTCTTTTACGGGTTGGTCCATCGCGGTCCGTTCTTCACCAGAGCAGAAGCATCTGGGATACTTTCTCTGTGATGAAAATAATCCAGGTATCACACAGGAGTCTCCTACGTTCGGTTATGGGAACGTTCACACAGATTCCCATCATCACAGATGCCGATGGACCTGAGCGATGAAAAAATTGTGCTTTTATCAGATCTGCGAAGTCTGCTCCAGGACTTTATTTATTTATTTGTTGAGAAATTATCATCTTTTAGCATTTACCATCTTTGATGCTGTTCGTTTTTAAAAAGAGGGTTGGAGTTTTCTCAGTTTGCGCTGACTTAGACACCCAACTGTCAGGCACAGGAAACGTAACTTTCTCTGTAACTTCTTTATGGTTCGGCTAGCTGCAGTCCAGATGATTACACGTTAACTCAGCGTTCCACACGTTTTCAGTCTTTGTTCCTCAGAGTCTGTGTTCTGTAATTTCTAATTGTTCACTTACAATAGAGGCTGACCTGGAATCCTGTCTCCCACCCCGTACTTCTCATTTTGTCACAACTGCAACTGTAGTCTAGCTCCTTCTCGGGTGTGAAGCTTCTCATTTCAAATCATACAAAAGAGCTGAAACGTAATACACTGGAATGCAGAAACCAGGCTGATTACTTACTTTTCAGACCTGTTGTTATTTTGACCTCTGGAGGTGTTTTACTAGATTAACCACTCCTACTGCTGTTGAGTAAAGTTTAAGTGGTTCAGTGCTGCATGGTACTTCCATTAGATCATGTTACAGTTCTCAGGATTTAGTGGGCGTTGTGGCTTGGTTGCATGGAGTTCTGCTTCAACCTTTTCAAAGTGAAGGATTGTGGGTATTAGAACAATCCTGATGGACTTTAACACAATCCTCCCTGAAGCTGACCATGTGGAGAGGATGCAACGGTCAACAGCCGATTGACAAAAGTAATCATAGGCTGATAACAGCTGATTGAATCATCTGGAAAGCAGCTGAAAAGAACAAAAACATCACTTAAACAAGACCAGAATGTCCTACGGCTGTCTGAAATCTCCAGAATGTCCCAGCAACACCTCTCTGTTATCTAATGAACCTTTGGACTACTGCAAGTTTAACATTACTTGGTAATTCTAGCAAAAATAGTAGGAAACTCAGTGTTACATGAACCCTGGATGCACCTGAGGTGTCATCTGGAACAGGTATGTTGTCATTATTCAACAATTTAAATAAAAATGCTCCAACACCTCATCCTGTAAGCAATCCAAACAAAACAGACCTGTCTCTGGTTGTGTATCTGTAAGATGTTGTTGCATAGATGTAAATCACAGAGCATGCGTGAGCGTTTGAGGATGTATCTAGACAGATGCGGATTTAGCGACCTTTTTCGTGGACAGTTTATTTATAAACAAACACCATGAGACTAATAATTATGAAAGAATTTCATTTAATTCTGTTGCTTGGCTAGAGGAGCTTTTTCCAGCTGAAATCATGGAAGTAGGAAGATGGGCTTAAGGTGTGATACATATCTCAGCCTCTAGATGGCGCCCTCTGAAAAAAATAACTGGATTTCTGCTTTAAGCCTTTACTGACTATAAGCTTGTAGTCGTGTTGGCGTGCTGTATTGAGGCTCTGACATGCTGACAGATGATTTGCAAAAGCTCCTGTGAGGTGATAAACAACAAATCTGCAGTTTTAATAGAAGAAGATGTAGAAAAAACAATATGTTACATAGCAGATAAAACCATGGCAGCTCATGAGATTCCCTAAATTAATTTAGATTTCTAATTTTCACTCTAGCATGTGTGAGAACACCTTTTCACCTTTTCACTGTCGTAGTTTTTTTATTTGGAGGGTTTAAACTCATTTGGCCTCCTCAGATTTTTCCAATTGAAGTCAGAGGAAGAAGTTGGCAGAGAGAAACGTGTTTGTCCTCGGAGGAATCTCCTGGCGTTCCCACAGTGCTGCTGACATGCAGACAGAGACCCATTGTTCCCAACACACACACACACACACACACACACACACACACACACACACACACACACACACACACACACACACACACACACACACACACACACACACACACACACACACACACACACACACACACACACACACACACACACACACACTTTGATTACCTAGGACTCTGTCTGCTGTCCTCTCTCATAACTCCAAACTTAAGCATTAATAAACTATTAAAGTTTAAACAACCCTTTATTAAAAATTTGTAAAACATTGATAAATGTAGTTATGTTGACCAAAATAACTATATGCTTCAAATGTGTGTGTGTGTGTGTGTGTGTGTGTGTGTGTAGGAGTGGTCTCCAGAGGCGAGTCGCTCCATCAGCAGGAAGGAGCGAGTAGGAGACTCTGAGGAGAACGTGGTCACGCTCACCAACATTGTCTCATCAGGAGAAGGGGGTGACGCCCCGCCCAGTCCCATCACCGTGGAAACCAGAAGGTTGGAGGATGTTTGATTTAAGGACTGAGATGATCAGCGCCTCATGATTTTTATCTTGAGAGGCTTGCTTCTTCATCTTTTACATGAAAATATCAGTCATGATTTTAAAAATCAGTAAAGCTTCCAAACTGCATTTTGGCTGCAACTTCATTATGATGTTCGACGAGACTGACTAAAGGATCGTTGGTAAAGTTCTATAAAGATAGAAATCACAAAAAACTTTCCAATAAAAACCGCACATTAAATGATCCACTTACAAAATAGAGTTTTTGGGCGGATTATTTAAGATGATTACCTTCAGTTATGTTTTAGTTGCACTGCAGACTCGTGTAGGAGCCTCTACATTGAAAGACTTTGCATATAAATGTGCAAATTATATTATTTAGCACCTATGTTGTCTTTGGAGAGGACCTACAGGACCATCGTTAAATCCTTGGGACACCTTTAATATATGGTTTCACTGAAATGTTGTTTTCAAAAACCAGACTGGAATTTTTCTGAACTCTCCTGATATTCCAGAAACAAACAAGTTGCTCTGTCCCAACTTGTACCGACCTGGTAAAAAGACAGACTGGGATTGAAAGGAAGGTGAAATATTAAGATGAAGATGAAATCTGCTCAGATATTTCTTAGAGTTTTCTTATAGTAGAAACAGTCAGACATAGAGAGATCTGGAACATACTGGAACTGGGACCATGGAGATGCCGTCTGGGTTTTATCGGGATTCACACACTTAAAAGTAGGGATGCAACGATGCCACTTTATCCAAACCGATACTTGGATCTGAGTACTCGCCAATACCGATTACCAATACCGATACTTCTACCACACAAAAAATGCAATGATTTGGAATACAGATTTTATTTTCTTCTCTGCTTTCAACAGGAGAAGACTGTGAGGTAGATAAAAAGTAAAATATTTGAATGGAAATCATCACAAAACTAAAATATTAGGTGAACAGAAATGACAAGTTACAGTGAAGCCATTTTCAAGCAACTGCATTGGTATCGGTTCCTGGTATCGGTTAACTTTTACCGATACTGATATTGGTATTGGTATCGGCGCTGAGACCGATACCAGTATCGTATCGGTGCATCCCTACTTAAAAGTGCACGAAGTACGAATGACACCCTGTGGTCAAATTTGAATGCTGCAGGTCATCTTTCAAAACAAATGAGTCTGCTCTGAGCTAGGGCTGTCGCGGTAACCGCAAAAATGAAATATCGCAATATGAAGAAGCCCACCGCGCTGCATCATGGGCCACCGCGATTACTGAACTTGGTTCAACTCAATGATGCATGTTGAGAAGGATGGCTGCACTGGTATCAAAACGAAACGTTACTTCGCTCCTTTGGGAGCACTTTGGTTTTCAGTACGTCAGCTGCTGCGCAGCCAGGGTCCTTGGCCGAGACAGAGCTGCCACCAGCGGCAAAAAAATAATAATAAACGCTCGGAGACCTGCTGAAGTCCCGGAAAAGCACTGCTTCTGCAACCGTCCCGAAGAGAGTTTGAGCCGAGCTGGAGCTCACTCGCTACCTGCAGGAGGAATGCATCCACCCTAAAGAACCCCCCTGACATGGTGGAGCAACAACCGGGAGAGATTCCCTTTACTCGCACGCAAGTAAGTGTGCGTTAGTGCAACGAGCGCACCATCCGAGAGGGTTTTCAATGTTGCTGGAAATGTTGCCACCCCTCTCAGATCCTCTCTCAAACCGTAGTTAACATGCTGGTTTTCCTTGTGGGTAACAAGGACGTGACCGAGCTATAAATCACCGTCATTCGTGTGTGTGAAAGTGAAATGATAGTGCGCCCGCCCCCCGGCGCGCGCGCGCCCGGTACATGTAATTTTTTATGCTTGATTTTAAACAACTAAACAAAATGGGGACTTGTTTCATATTTGTTAGATGCTGCAGCCAAATTTGCATTTAAAAGTTTAACCTCCTGAATTTTGTTGTTTTTAAGTTCAGTCGGACTCCGACTGTCGGAGAAACAAACGTTACTGCGATCTGTGTTGTTACTGCCCTTTGATCTGCATTCAGTAAAGTGTTATAAAAGAAGGCACGGCAATTTTTAACCTTTTTTAAATGTGTAAACATTATGTTTAGATAGTACTGCAATAAAAAAAGGACTGCAAATAATCGCACACCGCAATATTAAGCCACCCTGAATCACCGCAGGGGGAATTCCTCAACCGCGACAGCCCTACTCTGAGCAGCTGTTTCCAGCCACTGCTAAGTGCCAGAAGATTCTGGATGACATGTGGAAGTGCAAGTATTGGAACAGGGCCCAAAACTAAAAGATTCTAGTAAATTTGATTTTTTTGGCTTAAGGGTGCAAGAAATAACTCCTTAGCTGCTCCGTGTGCTGGCTAACATACTATTCACAGCTCTGCTGCATTTTGCTGGCCGGTGTCAAATTACAAATGTAGCAGCGTTTGCAGACTTCACAGCCTTGCAGGCTCACACATGATTGGCTCTGGAATCAGGAAGTATGGAGGCAGGACAGATTGTAAAAATGACTACGCCCCTCTTGGGCCGTTTTAAAAGAAATAAAACTGGCCTCCACCTAGCCGGCTGAGAAGGAAATGTGTTTCAATGTAACCATCCTTCCAACATGATTAAGACATTAGCCTGTTCTGTGATTATTTTACTGTAGCACTTTTACTTATTGCACCTTTAAAACGGAACCAAAGTGGAACTGCAGCTGGTTTATAGAGTTTTTCACTTCATGTTAAGGAGTTTCTCTTTTCTGTGCACACACACTCTCTCTCCCTCTCTCTCTCTCTCTGATTTACAGTGGGGCAAAAAAGTATTTAGTCAGCCACCGATTGTGCAAGTTCTCCCATTTAAAATGATGACAGAGGTCAGTAATTTTCATCATAGGTACACTTCAACTATGAGAGACAGAATGTGAAAAAAATCCATGAATTCACATGGCAGGATTTTTAAAGAATTTATTTGTAAACCAGGGTGGAAAATAAGTATTTGGTCACTTCAAACAAGGAAAATTTCTGGCTCTCACAGACCTGTAACGTCTTCTTTAAGAAGCTTTTCTGTCCTCCACTCGTTACCTGTATTAGTGGCACCTGTTTGAACTCATTATCTGTATAAAAGACACCTGTCCACAGCCTCAAACAGTCAGACTCCAAACTCCACTATGGCCAAGACCAAAGAGCTTTCGAAGGACACCAGGAAAAGAATTGTAGACCTGCACCAGACTGGGAAGAGTGAATCTACAATAGGCAAGCAGCTTGGTGTGAAAAAATCAACTGTGGGAGCAATTATCAGAAAATGGAAGATATACAAGACCACTGATAATCTCCCTCGATCTGGGACTCCACGCAAGATCTCATCTCGTGGGGTCAAAATGATCATGAGAACGGTGAGCAAGAATCCCAGAACCACACGGGGGGACCTGGTGAATGACCTGCAGAGAGCTGGGACCACAGTAACAAAGGTCACCATCAGTAACACACTACAATGGCAGGGAATCAAATCCTGCAGTGCCAGACGTGTTCCGCTGCTGAAGCCAGTGCATGTCCAGGCCCGTCTGAAGTCTGCAAGAGAGCACATGGATGATACAGCAGAGGATTGGGAGAATGTCATGTGGTCAGATGAAACCAAAGTAGAACTTTTTGGTATAAACTCAACTCTTCGTGTTTGGGGGAAGAAGAATACTGAGTTGCATCCCAAAAACACCATACCTACTGTGAAGCATGGGGGTGGGAACATCATGCTTTGGGGCTGTTTTTCTGCTAAGGGGACAGGACGACTGATCCGTGTTAAGGACAGAATGAATGGGGCCATGTATCGTGAGATTCTGAGCCAAAACCTCCTTCCATCAGTGAGAGCTTTGAAGATGAAACGTGGCTGGGTCTTCCAACACGACAATGATCCCAAACACACCGCCCGGGCATCAAAGGAGTGGCTCCGTAAGAAGCATTTGAAAGTCCTGGAGTGGCCTAGCCAGTCTCCAAACCTCAACCCCATAGAAAATCTGTGGAGGGAGTTGAAAGTCTGTGTTGCTCAGCGACAGCCCCAAAACATCACTGCTCTCGAGAAGATCTGCATGGAGGAATGGGCCAAAATACCAGCTACTATATGTGCAAACCTGGTAAAGACCTATAGTAATCGTTTGACCTCTGTTATTGCCAACAAAGGTTATGTTACAAAGTATTGAGATGAATTTTTGTTATTGACCAAATACTTATTTTCCACCCTGATTTACAAATAAATTCTTTAAAAATCCTGCCATGTGAATTCATGGATTTTTTTCCACATTCTGTCTCTCACAGTTGAAGTGTACCTATGATGAAAATTACTGACCTCTGTCATCATTTTAAGTGGGAGAACTTGCACAATCAGTGGCTGACTAAATACTTTTTTGCCCCACTGTATGAGCAGGCTGTGTTTGGTGTTTCTGTAAAGCTTTAAAACAGCATGTTTCTGTGGGCTGCTCCGTCTAGACTGAACACCTAAGCTGTGTGTATGTGTGTGCACGTGCATTGTTTCGTTGAGCTTTTACCCTACAGTCCCCTTGTTTGTGTGAACAAAATGCTCTCTAACCAGTAGCTCCATAAGCTGCTGCATCTGCATTCATGCACCTTCTCAGGATTAAAAAAGAACTTTTGAAATCAAATCAAATCTGAGCTAAACCTTGTGGAGCAGCCAGATGTAGCAGCATATTTACTGTTTGCTTTCTTCAAAAAACACAGAAAACCATCTGCTTTTCTTCATTTTTGTAGTGAAACATTTTTTGAAAATGTTGAACTTGGAAAAAACAGCACCGAGACGCCAGACGGGACTCGTACAGCTACTTTACAAAGATCCGAAACTTCTCCCAACACATCCCTTCATAAAACAGTAAAACTAATAAACTCGACTATAGCGTTACGTCTGCTTTCTTCCCAGTCAGATCTTCTTGTGATCTTTTACTGAAAAGTTTCTTTTATCTTGTATTTGGATTTGAATGCATTTTGGCCTGATTCCCGGTCGGTCCCTGCACCTGATCCCGTGGCAGCTTCTTAAGCAGTGTGTTATTTTAAAAATGAAAAGAAGGTTGTGATATAAAATGATTAACCTCCATATCTAAAATCTAGAGTTTTCTGTTGAGAGCTCTTTGCAAATCACCTGTTTCTTCCTGCCAAACTATCATCTGCAGTTTCAGCTGAGAAATGCAAACAAATAGTGTTTTTGTGATGAGCTGCATGTAAAGTGCCTGTGGGCTTTATTTTAAACAGGTTCTTTGTTACGTTGTCTGTTGACACAACACAGGTTCATCCTCCGAGTTTAGAAGTTTTTTTCCTGCCTGAATGACTCAGAGGTCAGAGTTAAGTGTCTGAAACATATACAGTGATCCCTCGCTACTTTGCGGTTCGTTTATTGTGGATTCACGGCTTCGCGGATTCTTTCTTTGGAGCCTTATTCAAGGGAAATTTGCCGATTCGCTGTATTTTTCTATTCGAAATATCAAGAAATTCCTGTTTTTTTTCCATCAATTTCATCATAAAATGCACTTTTTGTAATAAAACTATAAAAAAAACAAGTAAAAATACAGTACTATGTAAAGGGAGTGTTTTAAAAGTCTGAATACTGAATACGTACCTGTTAAATAAATACTGTAAATATGGTGTCCCTACTTTGCGGATTTTCACCTATCGTGGCCAGGTCTGGAACGCATCTACCGCGATAAACGAGGGATCACCTGTAAAACATTTCTCTAATAACGTTCAGCCTCTGGAGTGAAAATGAATGAAACTAACGCTTGAAGAACTGTTTAAGACCAGCTTTGAAATTTTGCTCAGAAGCAGAACAGACGGGACTAAAAGGTTAGCCTTCATTATTATAACATTAAATATGGCCTCCTATTGAAATAATCTGTGTGTGTGTGTGTGTGTGTGTGTGTGTGTGTGTGTGTGTGTGTGTGTGTGTGTGTGTGTGTGTGTGTGTGTGTGTGTGTGTGTGTGTGTGTGTGTGTGTGTGAGACCTACTGGCAGTGTGTTTAAATCCCCCCCCCCCGTCTCCTGATGACTCAGCAGAATGAAAACGTTCTGCTGGTGTTGTTTGACTCAACATATGCAGCTGATGTTTATTCTTTGGAAGGAACTTTGGAAACTCTTTAAAAAGTATTTCAGGATGAAGTCTTTTTGTGTCTAAATGTAACCTTTTTTCCTACTCCTGCCCTGGAAGAGCTCCCCCTGGTGGTTCACTTGTTTATGTTCCAGTTGAACAGCTTAATTCTGCAGAAGAGACATTTTAGAGAACTTTTAGGCTGAGGTTCCTAGATGGGATGGAAAAGATCCTGATCTTTAACTGTGTGTGTTTGTTTGGCTTTCAGGGTGAAGGACTATTCATCAGATTGGTCCGACGAGGAGAGTCCTAAGAAGGCGCTGGCGGTGAACGGCGTGTGGGAAGCAGACGACAAGGAGGAGCAGGTGGAGGCGGTGCCAGTGAGAGCGCTCTATGATTACACGGGCCAGGAGTCGGACGAGCTCAGCTTTAAAGCAGGTATTAACCCACACCTGTGCTTGTGTTATTGATAACGACCAGCAGCTACAGCTGGTTTTGTTTTCTTAAGAGTCTAAGGCATCGTCTTATTGGGTTTTGAATTAGTGGGATTAAAAATCATCTTTATTCCTGATGTGAAAGCATTGAGGGGAAATATAAATAAAAAGCTTTTATCACAAACTAAAACATATCTGCCTTTTAAAAGCTGTAATTCCATGTTCCTCCTCCTATCCGGAGTCAGGTCACGGGGGCAGCAGCCTACGCAGAGAGACCCAGATTTCCCTCTCCCCGGCTACTCTTATCATCTTCATCAAATAGCAAGACTCAGGGGTCTCATGGCCAGACTAGACCTAGAGAACTTATTCATGAGTTCATCTCCAGCAGGCTGGACTGTTGCAATGGTCTTTTAACTGGTTTTCCCAATAAAAGCTGCAAAGCAATGGCAGCTTATTCAGAATGCTGCTGCTCAACAAGAACCAAGAGAACCGAGCACATCACTCCTGTTCCCTAATCTCTACACAGGTTACCAGTAAGCTACAGAATAGATTTCAAAGTGCTTCTACTAGTTTATAAATCACTCAATGGCATGGGGCCAGAATATATGCTGGATCTCCTTCCTGTATACACACCCAGCAGGGCTCTGAGATCCTTCAGAGCAAGTCACCCCCTACAAGAAACTTACTTCACTCCCACTTCATGTTTTAAAAATGCAACAAATGCTGTTGCCTGGCAGACCGAGAGGGCGGAGCCGCTAACAAATACACACACACACACACAGGTGCACAACGACATTGTGACATCATAATGTATCAGCTGACATCATAGTGTACCTCTTAGCCAATAGCGGTAGCAAATCTAAATTCAAATACAGTGCAGAGTTTTTCCCTGACGACGGCGCAACAATGACAATTTTAAGTAGAATATTTAAATTTTAACTAAGATGCACTGAAGTGCCAAATTATTGACTACATGTGTCTATAGCACAATTAGACACTCGTTTATATAGTTAATCAGAAAAAAAAAAGTTGATTTGGGGGTGACTTGCTCTTTAGGAAACAGTCGGCAGGTAGAACCTCGGGTCAGAACCAAACAGGGTGAAGCTGCCTTTAGCTTCTATGCTGCACACAGATGAAATTGGCTTCCTCATGACCTCAAATGTGTCCCAACTCTGTTAACTGTTAAATAAAAATTGAAAACCTTCGTGCAGATCAGTGCAACGCCTGCATCGCTGCAGAAGCAGCACCAATCCACCTATCGACCTTGCGCTCCATCTCTCCCTCACTCGTGAACAAGACCTGAGATAAACTCCTCCACTCGAGGCAGGAGCTCGTCCCTGACCTGGAGAAGGCATTCGCCCCTTTTCCGACTTAAGACCGTGGTTTTGGTACACATTCTTAAAAGTTGCGTATATTAATTAAGAATGTATGTTGTAAAAAATAGTGCATAACTTTACACTATTACCCCCAGTGGGGTGACAGACCTGATCCAGCAGCTAGCTGACATCATTAGAGATGAATTTAATCACCTGTGACTGTAGCATAGAGACACTTGGTTCTTCAGGATTCCTGCTGCAGTTCTAACACCAAGACAAAAAAAATCACTAATCAGGATTACTGAAAAGTGCAAATGACTGGATGAGTTTTGCAGCATCGACCTGACGCAGTTCAGCACCAGAGTGGTTGGTCTGTCCTCTGTTGGGTTCAGGCGTCACACAGGGTCAGTAGAACACAGGGTTAATGGAACCTCATGGGACTAAAGATGGATGGAAAAGCTTAACCCCGCTCAGCTCGGCTTATCCAGTCAGACACGGGCTCTTTTCTCCTGGTCTTGGTTCAGGTCATCATCTACGGTTTGTTTACTTCCAGAAACACACCCAGGATAAAAAGTATTACTGATTCAGCGTAGCCTTGATGTGTAGAAGCTAACTGACTTTTGTTTCTTCAGGTGAAGAGCTGCTGAAGCTAGGAGAGGAGGATGAGCAGGGCTGGTGTAAAGGACGGCTGAAAAACGGTCAGATCGGCCTTTATCCAGCCAACTACGTCCAGGTCATCACTTCCTGATGCACCGCCCTCTGTTGAAAACAGCCGATGATGAGGCTAAACACAATTATCCTGGACCAATCAAAAATTGTCCTCGTTACCCTGAAGTTATTCAGAAGAGTTCCGTCTACTGGCTGTAAACCTCCCCTTTACTGTGGAAGAGTCCGCTGTAAACACGGACATTCGTCACAGGTCCTGGAGGAACATTTCATCGAACTCTGGATTTGAGAATTCCTAAAGCAGATGAGCGTTGGAGGCAAACAGCACCACATGGAAGACCACAGCTTATTCTAATCCAGATCATCCTAACACCTGCTCATTTTCAGACAAGAGTTTAACACTTTTGGGGTGAAAACTCCAGACGTCTCAGTTTCACACAAAGCTGAGACTAGCATGTGCTTAGCTTAGCATTTCGCCCCATTTCTTGTATTTATGCTAAGCTAGCCAGCTAACAGCAGAGGTTTGAAAGGGAATAACTTTTAAATGAAATGTTCCGTAAGCTGGCACACACACCCGCTTTCGCTAGCCTTTATGCAGTCTAGCTCTTGGATGCAGCACCTAGTGGCCGTTAGTGGGGCTGCAGTTTGGCTGTTGGATTAAAACCCCGATGACAGATCAACAGTGCCTTAAACGACGATGCCAGAAACATGCTGCATGACAGAATGTAGACAAAAGCAACTTTTTGTCTGACTGAACTAAATGTATATATAAGTACAACACAGCTATGAATTCTGGGTAATGACCTGCTTTAGCCATCGGTTTCTTGGACATGAAAGTGATTGTGCAAACATCTCCTGATAAATTTAGCTTCCCTCCAGCTGTGATGCTGGATAAAAGTGTTTTATTTTCTTTTTAGACGAGACTCTTCTTTTTACTGTGATGGCTGTTAGATCATGTTTACTGATTTGTGAATATGGAACATTGAAACTGTTGCCACTTTCTTCTTACAGTTAGCATTTTTAAGAGATCAGCGGTTTCATTTGTTTTCAAATCTTCTAATTTAAAAATGTCAATTGAGCGCGGCTGGCTTAAGCCACCAGATGATTTCTGACTGTTGGGTGTGAGTCGTATAACCAGTGTGAGCCGATCTTTCGCTCCGGTTTGTATGTCGGCTGTGAACACAAAAGATGCGACTTAGTCACCAAAAGCAAGTTTTGTTCTTAAAGATGTTGGTTTGTGGGTTTTTCATGTTTAAGTTGTGATTTCCATGTGAGGAAGCTCCTCTGTCCTGCTGATCTGATTATCGCTACAGCTAATTCATTTAGATGTTTATTAATAACAATCTGAAACATTGAAGATACTGCACGCCTCTAGATTCTTTCCTTTTTTCTTGTGCATGTAACGTGTACAGTTCATAATGTGGGAAGCAAAAATAAAGAGCTTGTTGCAGGTGGAACCTTTCTGACTGTTTTGTCCTCATGCTGGTTCCCTATTGGTACCAGCAGCACCCAGATGACGGGGTTTGTTTCTTTACTTCTGCAAGTCTTAATCTCACCAGTCCTGGTTGTAACCTCGGTCTGTGTTTGTGAGCGCTGGTTATTGATCTCCAGTCTGTATTTCTGTTTCTGCTGTGAACAAGAGTCACACAAACCCGTAAACATCCGATGGTGATATTAAGAGATGACCGTGTTTATAAAAGCTTCTAGAACCACGTTTATTACTCCATAAGAAAAAAGAAAAGGAAAATCCTGAATGATGATAAAGGCTTACGCTGTGTTATCCCATCCTGACGGAGGGTTTCTTTGAGCCCAGCAAAGAGGCGGTGCTATATAACGGCATAAACCTGTAGAAAGTAGGTTGACAGTAGAGATCAGGAGCAGAGTATTTACATTTTTAATCACAATTTTTATTTTGTCATTTTAAACATTTTTAAATCTTTTTTTATTCTAAATTTTTTGTTTGTGTGGAACACCTCATGATCTTGGGAGGCGCTTCATAAACGTTTGTTTTCTTTTTTTCTTCTCTAATGCAAACTGTCTTGATCAAGACCAAGATCCAAACCTGGAGATCAGATCAGAACGTCCCGACTTTATTTATGCAGCATTTGTTTATGTTTACAAAACAGTAAACTTGGAAGGTCTTTGGGATTGGTGTGTTGCCCTGAGGTTATTAGCTTCTGGCACCAAACATCAGTCAGCTGTGATTTGAAAGCATATCACATGTGTGTAGAGCCTTGGTCATTGTACACATTAAGATTAAGACCGTATTCCAAAAATTTGCTGTATTTTGTTTTTGCATCCTTTAACATAAAATATCATTTGAGGTGAAAAAAAAATCAACTTTCAGGTAAATTTTGACGTTGGTAATTTAGGATTGGCTGACATACCAAACCTCTGGGATTCCAACAACCATGGAAATGTGATGTTTTTTTTTTAAACTCTTGAGACTCTCAACTAATAAGCCTGATTTAGTTTTGGTCCCTAACATTGAAGTATCTCTGAAGATCATTTGATCTGTTTTTGAGCTGTTGTCAGGAGATCCAGAGAGGAATCCTGCTGACTACATGGCACATCTCACACTGACTTCATTAGACATGTTTAAATGAGTCTGAACGAGCTCACTAACCAGTGAGAGATCAGCTCTGGTGAGATGCTTCTGTAATGTTGGGTTATTACAGGTGTTTATCCACGTGTCTCTTTCTCCAATGTCCTCTGATTATTTTGCAAACCTTTGTCCCATTTTAGAGGGACCACAGCACCCCCTGGTGGATGAACAATGTCGACTGTCCTGCTTTTGGATAAAGGTCATGTCTCATTTTAAACCGCTGCTCTGGATATGAGTTTATTTAAACGTTTATGTCAGATGGTAAAGGGAAGACGACAAATTTGTGCATTAGTTTCATCTTTAACTCAGACTACGAGTGTCATCCGTTTCTTTGAACCAGTTTTAGGAAGAGTTCAAATGCATGAACACTTTGAAGGAAACTTCAAAAATTCCGATACCAGCCGATCCCAAATCCCAGGATTTCCTCAAATCAGAGTAACTCCGAGGTGTTCCCAGGTCAGCAGGGATGTAATCTCCAGTGAGTTCTGAGGACACCTGAAGATATTTAACTGCTCACTTGACCGCAGTGACAGTGTCGAGTTATCTTCAGTCTAATTTAATTGGCACCTCTTCTCTGCTTTTATGGCAGAGCTGTGTTGCATCTGAAGCATTTTCTCAGCCAGAGGATGAACTAAAGCTAAGAGTTATTTAAGGACCAGAGGAGAGGATGTGCAAAACAATGCAAGCATCAATCAGCTGTGTAAGTTACAGAAACAATCGTTTTACACCTCAAACTGTCACAAGATCTATTCTACCTCATCTACGCAAAAACTTCCTATTTGCACATCAAAGAGGGAAATATTTATCTAAATTATTTAGAACTATTAGAACTCTAATAGAACCTGCAGTTATAGAATATTTATATGCATTTTATTTTATTTTTGAACTATGCTTTTTAAATACTTCTGTCTTTTATTTTTGCACTCAAGGTTGAACTCCTGACGTTGTTCTTATGTGTCCTTATTGGATTTGTTGGTTGAATTAAAATCAACAATAACTTGTTCTTGGTTTTTTTCAGAAGTTTGAGTTCATTCTGGGTAACTTACTGTCATGAGTTAACCTAACAAAACAAAGGCACTCCAGCTGAGGCAAACATTTGAAAAATGCAGACATTTTTTTTATTAAACTGACTAATTGAATCTGTACAGCAAACCCCAAAGCTCACAAATCTGTTCTTTGTATGTGTGTTTGAAATTCTAAAGAGGAACAAAACTGAACACGGTTTAACTTTGTACACACTCAGACTTCCAGATGTTTCTTTCATAATCAGATGTAGGTAAAAAAAAACAAAAACAAAAAAAAAGGATCCCTTGAAAAGCGGCCCAAGATGCAGGGTTTTGGTTTCCACCATCTTCATGAGGTGAACACAAACAAGCCAGTGTAAAAGTGTCCCATCCACTTCTCCATTCAGAAAAAACAAAACCAGTTCTGCGAGACCACAGTGTCACATAGCCGAGAAAACGGTTTCGCATTTTAAAAGGGTGGAAATTAGAAAGCAACATCTTAGATATTTCACTGCAAAACAACCCCAAAACAAAACACATTTATGTCTAAAAACAAAGAAAACAGAGATTTTGCCTTATTTTGTTTTTAAACAAGATTTAATTAAAATCTTTGTTGATTAGTTGCTGTTTTGGTGAAAATGTCTCACCCAACAACCTTCTGCTGTCCAAGTGAAGCCCGCAGCGGTTCACTTGGCTCCAGATAGCAGGCAGGAGCGTTGGGATTATGGTTCTGGGCGGGCGGCTCCAGCTGAGTCGTGGCACAGGAACTAAAATCACTAGAAAACATCTCAACTCTTAGATCTTGTTGCAGCTCTTCAAAAACAGTTTTATTTAATATTTTATTATTCACAACTTTTGTTGAATCCCCGTGAGATTTGGAAACCCAGAACTGAGTTCACATCCATTCAGATTAAATGGAACGCAGCCCAACTGAAACCCTTTTCTCACGACTCACTGGAAGTTTTTATCTGCTGCTCATTTCACAAAAGTTCTGCCACACATGTCCAGATTTTCAGTCAGGCTCAGATAAAACATTTAGGTCAGTTAGCTCCTCTATTTCTGGCCATTTTATAGAGTAAAATCAATTATTTCAGGACACCTTTCAATTTTATTTACAAAAATATTTATTTTCTGAACGTTTGGAGCAAATATTTAGCTGGAAGTCTGAAGTTAAGCAGATAAAGGCAGAGAAATACATGTATTGTTATTGTGAGTGCAGTTTATTAAACAAATATTTCATATTAATTCACAAGAAAATGTCAGCATTTAAGTTTCTATTGCACAAATTGAAGCCTTCATTACTGAGATCAAGTCAAGGATTTAGAAAGTATTTAGTCTGTTTTTCATCAGGTTTGATTTTCATTTGAAATAAAATCGGTTAAAACAGTTTGCTGAATTACATTTTTTTGCCACCAGAAAGGGGCTCTAAAGGCAGGGTTTACAAGATGAAACGTAAAAAAATTCTACCGATGTTTACAAAACCTCACAGCGTTCCAGGAGTGAGGAAACAGGAGCCGTGTGGGTTCAGGACGGTGGTGCAATCTGGGGTTTATAATCCGCTTGTCTCACTATAGCAGCTCTTCAGCATTTTTAATTAAACATAAAAAACTGTCACATGGAGTAAAAGCAAAGTGCACCCTCGTCAGATTCAATCAAGCAAAAATAAATTAAACATGAAAATAAAAAAGTGCAATGAAATTAGCTTTTAAATAAAAACAAGTGTAACTAAGGAGATGACATTCTTTTTCCCCGGAGACCAGCTTGGCTTTTTCAGCCGGCAGAAAGTGCTGAACTGATCTGAGAGCAGAGTCGTATTTCTGGACGGGATGGGGCTTCATGAGCGGTGGCCACGCTTCAAAAGCAGCAGAATCGTCTCAAGAGTTCAAAAGCAAACACTTTCTGTCTCATTATGTCCACGTGCAACCGGAGCAGCGTCAGGCCTCACTTACACGTCACATAAAAATAATCTGGCTGAACCAGAGGAAGTCCACCCAACCCCAGTCTCAGCTACAGCGGTTAGAGGCTCCAGCGCCTCGCTCCCATCCTCAAACAACAATCCCAGCAGCGGCAGATGCTCGAAAAACAGTCAAGAGTTTGGAGATGCTTAGACAGACTGAAGTATTTGGTTTTTGAGGGGGGGGGTCCAGGTGGGTTGTTGGCACGGTTACAGAGGGGGTAACTGGGAGGAGGAGGAGGGTGGGAGGACTGGCGTTCTATCGGTCCTTCAGTTCTCTCGTCACTCTCTTTGTGATGCGACCACACAGCAGCCCCACCAGGAAGAGGACGCACAGGCTCATGGCGATGACGAACAGGATGTAGTTCTTGGAGGGTGATGTCATCACCTGGACGGCCAGGTCTGAGAAGTTCTCCGCCGGCGCCACCTAGAGGGGAGACAGGACAGCGATGTTTGTTGTCAAATATTTTTCTCTTTTTGAAGCTCAGCACAGCAGAACAACCAGAGTTACCTTAGCAGCGTAGCTCCACATATCAATGCGGTCCTGAAGCCGTTTCTTGCATTCAGGCTGCAGACGAATCCTCTTGTCCTGCAACGCCTCAATCAGACACGACATTTCTGCAAAACATGGAGGAAGGAGTCAAATCCAGCGCTCTTCAGAGAGCTGCAGACACAAATCAGAACCTACGCCGTCCTCTTCCAGGGGTGATGGCGGCACAGTGGTGTTTCAGATCCAGAGCACAGGCCGTGTGGAGGACCGGGTCCACAAATATGTCTGCTTTACTCTCCTTCAGCATGTTCAGAACCTCCTGCAACACAAACAAGAGTGGAGTTTCACACGTAAGAGTGGGAAAGGTCCTGTTTCATCTGGAGTCAGCAGAAATGTCCCTCGAATGTTAGAATATAATCTGTGGGCATTAAAACCCTCTCCATGACAAACGTAATAAAGGAAACGTATTCATGCTTTTGCACAGAAACACTCTTCAAGGCTTTAGAAACCTGCAGACACACACCTTTCTGCAGGCGTCCTGTTTGATTTTAAGCAGGTTGACTTTCAGACACTCTTCCACCTGACCCGTCTGCTCCTGAGCCGCCGCCTCCTCTGGACACAGTTTGGTGATCTTTTGGAAAAGAGGAAGGTAATAATCACAAAAACAGCACGTTTGAGGCACTCTCACTTACAAGATCATCTCGTCAGGATTTTTCTACCTGTTCCATTACTTCTTTAACATTCCCAACCGTATCTGATGTTGTTCTTGGATAAAAGCTGTTGCACAGATGGTGCTCACCTGGAGCGTTGTCATAAACAGATGAACTAATGCCAAAGGTAAACGGTGTGCTGACTGACAGCTAAACCCCACCTGACACCTTCACATGCCTACGAGTCACTTTAGAGATTTACTTCATCTGAGCAGTGCATCTGCAGCTGCGGGTCCAGCCTGTAGTCCAGCGCCGACTCCTGAAGAATCACTCTGATCTGGTCTTCACAGTCTGGAGACAACCTCTGAGCCAAACCAAGACCATGAACAGACGTTTATTCTCCACAGCAGATGAAATGAGAAGCTCTAATCTGAGATTAAGATGCTGTAGTCCCACCTGATCAGCATATTTGAGTTTGAGGCAGGCGATGACCTGACCCTCCAGCTCACGGTCCTCGCTGGCCTTGTTCAGGATGGACTGGCAGAACTTTGGGATGTCGGCTCGACATGCCTTCCTTAGCATCGGGTTCAGCCTGTAGTCTGAGGAGGAAGAGGAGGATGAGGAATGCTTCAGACCTGAACTTGACCCGTGTGTTTCTGCAAGTTTACCCGTGTTCTGTGTGATCTGTCTCTTGGTGATCATCTGTTTACACTTGGGATCCATCAGCTCACTGTTCTTGTTCTGCTTCAGGCACTGGAGGACGTTCTTGGCATCGGCTTCAGTGCAGAACCGCTGCAGCATGAAGGTGAGGACAGCACCATCAGCACCACCTTCTTCAGTTTCATCCGGAAGGGTTTCATTCTCTGCTCTTCCTCACCTTGATCATCTGCTTGCAGACTCTCATCAGCTGGTAGTCCAGCTCTGGGTCGCTCATCTCCACCTCCTGCAGCTTGAAGATGCGCTGGTGGCAGCGCTGACTCAGCAGGTTCTTCTGCTCCTTAAGGCACTCGATCATCTGAGGAGGAGCAGATGGAGGCAGAGAAAGGTCACTAAACGCTCTGACAGTAAATAATGAACAGTTACAGCATTGGCGGCCTTACCTGGGCATTACCAAACGCCACGTTGGGACACAGACGGCTGATGTCAGACTTACAGGGATCATACAACTCTGGTTCCAGCCGAATGTCTTCAGACTGAGACAAGAAACCAGAAGACAATTCACTACAAACTATGCCACAAATACAACATTTCCGTGTGTTAAACTACCGTAAATCCTCTAATACAGGCCCGGGCCTGTATTTGACTCAAGCTCATCAAGCTCCGGGCCTTTATTGGAAGGAGGGCCAGTATTAGAGGCAGGCCTCTATTTCTATTTGAGCAAAATGAACTAATGGTTCGCTGGAGTTTTTGACAATTAAAATTGTGCCCACATTTTCAAAGTTAAACACATTTCTTTTAACAACGGTAGTTTCTGCTTCAGCCCTCTCCCCCCTCCCCCTGCGCAGCAGCCGCAAACTCACTGATGTGCCTGCAGCCTCTCGGAGTTCCTGCTGCTCTAAACATTAAAATAATTATTTCATTTTCTGTTCCTCACTTCTGATTACCTTCAATGGTGTCTGTTTGTTGCAACCAGCAGGTACAAAAACTAACTTGTTTTTATTTGACCATTTTTCTGTCCTGCCTGTTTATTATCTTCCTGCATCTCCTCTCAATCCTAAAGAAAAACTGCTGCCTGGGTTCATATATATTCACCTCATGAGTTACCTTTGAACTGCAGTTCTAAAAGATCTACCGACCGCAAAAACAGCGGAGCGCTCGCTGTTTGGCGGCCGTATCAGTGATCAGTGCGTCTGAGGACAAGTTGATGCGCCCCGCTCCACAGCAGCGATACACATCAGGCGCAAATAAAAGACAGAAAACATTAAAGGAAATGAACCGACATGAACGATCGCGTGTCAGTACCTACGGTCTGGCACAGCGCATTGCTGATCACAGAGAATGTGATCATACGATAATTCAATAGGGAGCGCGGTTTCACAGACGCGGAAGTGATAGCGTCGGTGAAACGCCGGCTGCTCTAGGAAACCCCCGAGCGTTCGAGCGTCAACGAAGTGACACGGAAATGCCGGGCTTTCCAGAAGTAAGTAAGATAACTTACTATGAGCTGATAGTTCGTTGGATTGATCGGTAGGTTGGAAACTCTGATCATGAATCTGAAGAAACGATGACTGAGCTGTAAAGGCGACTTCCGTTTATAGCCGTGGTTTGTGACGTAGGTGCGACGTGGAGGGAATCCCCGCGAGGGGCATGCTGGGAGTCCCTACTTCGCGGATTTTCACCTATCGCGGCCAGGTCTGGAACGCATCTACCGCGATAAACGAGGGATTACTGTAGTTCATACACCCCCTACTGCTGCTCCCCAGAGTGTTCTGCAGCATAATCAGCACGTTCTCTTTGAACTTGATAGTGTAATGACCTGGCTGGGGTTGTAAGCCAGGTGCATTCTGGGTATTGTGTTATATGTGTTTCCTATCGTTCTGCTAGTTCCTATGTGCTGATTTGCGTGTTGTGTGAGTGTTATGTAAGCCACAGGGAAGGTGATGTGTGTTCTGTGGAGCGGGTTGAATTAGCATGGTTAACTGACACCGTGACTCTGTGTGGTAGGAGCGTGATAGAGGATCGTGTCTGAAGCGTGAAAAAGCCTAATAAATGTCTGCGTGAACCCCTACTGCCCCCTGCTGGTTGTTTTAGGGACTATAACCCTGCCGCTGGGACGCTCGTACTTGCTTGTTACCACATTCCATCCAGCCACAATAAGAGACCGGCCATTATTTACCTCCGCTGACTCCGACACCGGCCAAAATTGGAGACCCGGCCTTTAATTGAATACCGGCCTGTATTAGAGGATTTACGGTAGCTTTTTTTTTTCAACAGAGATTAATGTGGATGTAAATAGTATCTTTGTGTCAAACTCAGAAGAGACTTCTATTGTTGGGCCAGTTTTACCAATAACCTCTCAGAGGAAAGACAAATAAAAAATGTTTTTCTGTGTGTTACCATCTCCAGCTCCTCCACACGAAGCTGCTTGCGACATTTCAGAGACACCCGCTGCTCTCGGACCTCCTGCAGGGTATCGTTCCTCACCGTGGTGCTCAGACAGATGACGACATCCACCCTGCAGGAAGATAAAAAAATAGAAAAACTGTTAAAAAATCTGATAAAAACTAACTCAGAACAGCTCTGAAAGTTTTCGGGATCATTTGAATAACAGGGTGTGTGGTTAGTGTGGAATAGGAATGTCATAAACAGTTCGGCTCACTTCTTCTTGATGTTGGGACACAAGCGGAGAACGTCCTCCTTGCATGCCATCTTGAATTTGTAGGAGAATCTGAAATCCTTCATTTGAATCTAAGAGTTGAACATAAAGAAAACCATGGGTTATTTTTACCTGCTGCAGCACTCGTGTGTGAGAACAGAAACCAAGTATAACATGTATATGAAACCAAATGCAGGAACACTTATTTACCAATAACATGTTCTACTCTTTCCTCTGCTAGATTTTAAAATGTTGGATTTGTTTCTCATTTAAATAAGAAATCTCACAAGAGGTTAAAAAAGCAGCACGATGAAACTAACCAGCTGGAAGTGTGTGACACCAACGGCACACTTATCGTTCATCTCCTTCTGCTGTTTGTTCTGAACCAAACACTCCATCAGATCACCTGTGTCCACCTGGTTATCGGCTACATCCTGGACACAAATATCATCGTCATCATCATCATCATCATCATCATCATCATCATTTGCTGTCTGTTCTCTGTAACTCTGTGTTTGTCTCACATGACAGTGGGCCTGGATGACAGCATCACAGGCTCGGATGAGCAGAGCATCTATCTGGATGTCCTAAAGACAGAGACAAGCTTTTAGTTTACTATCAGCAATAAGACAGCTACTGTCTTCAGCTTAGCCCTTTGACCTCTGACTCCAGCTCTGTCAGGTTCCCGACCACCTCCCTGCAGATGGACACGAGGTCTTCCAGGTGATCCTGCAGACACTCCAGCTCCTGGACAGAGACAGCAGCAGGTTCACTCTCTGGTTCTAATTCAATTCAAGTTTATTTATATAGCGCCAAATCACGACAAGCGTCGTCTCAAGGCACTTCACATGGTAAACGTTCTAATACAGGTCAGTTCATTAAGCCAATCAGAAAAAAGTTTCCTATATAAGGAACCCAGCAAATTGCATCAAGTCACTGACTGGTGACTTTACAGCAATTCTCACAGTAAGCAAGCATGCAGCAACAGTGGAGAGGAAAACTCCCTTTTAACAGGAAGAAACCTCCAGAGGATCCTTGCTCAGTATAAACAGCCATCCACTTTGACTCACTGGGGATCAAGAAGACAAGAGCTCACACACACGCTCACACACACGCTCACACGCTCTCACGCACTCACGCACTCACTCACTCACGCACTCACTCACTCACTCACTCTAGAGGCCAGGCGCTGGTACCAGCAGCAGTCCAGGTGTGACTGACCTGTCCCGTGTCCGTCTTCTCGCTGCACCACTTGCCTAGGTCAGTCATGCAGTGTTTCTGCAGCTCCGGGTCCAATTTCACATCCAGCGCCCTCTGGTGGAGGATCCTCTGAACCTCAACCTTACAGTCCCGGGATAACTGCAAACACACGACAAGCAGGTGGCCTTTCGTTAACCCTGTAAAAGGTCATTTTATAACATACTGGCTCAAGAGAAGGATTTAAACATATGAAAAATTTGTAAAGTATCCCTTAGAAGTTGCATAAAAGCAACAACACAGATGCTGTGGATTGTTCAGGTGTTCCAAGCTTTCCATACAGGTTCAGCCTTCTTCTCATTGTCCAGTCATGAACTTTGACCTTAACTTACTGAGGCTGGTGGATTTTGAGGTTCACTGTTGGGTTTTTGTTGTTTCTCTGTGCCCTGCTCTAGCTGGGATGTCCATACCTGTGTGTCTATACACATAAACACAAACCCTCCCATTGGTGTCAGTGATCTGATCTTAAACAAGAAATAGTCATACGTATCGCTCTAAATGTGCATGAAATAAGAATGGCATCCAATGGTTACATCGTCGGTCACATTTGGGTATTGCAGTCCATGTATCAAAGCAAACGAGTCTGCTCTGAGCAGCTGTTGCCAGCTACAGATCAGCACCAGAAGATTCTAGATGATGAGTGAAGACGAGTCCTACACAGCAGGTTGATAAGTAGATAACTACATTTCACTGTAATAAGTTGTTGGTAAATTAAAAAGTAGCTTGAGATATTTTTAGAGCCAAGTATTTTGTTTCTAATTCATCGCTAGCATCGTTAGCGTCTAGCCTACTTAATCCGACATCAGAGTAAAACAAAAGGATGCCGTGGCTTCTCAGGGGTATCAGACATACTTATGACCCCTTTAAAAGAGTGAGACATGGTGAGACATAGTGGATGCTGTGGACACAACACAGGTCAAAAGTCCAAAATACATAATCAGGTCAAATCAAACCACCAAACCCCGCCGTACTGCTGAGGTTAATACATCAGAGACAAGAGCACCGCCCTTCATTCAGACACCGAATCAAAGGAGAGCAAAGCGGAGGTGAGTCAGGCGCAGCAACAAGTTTGCTTTAGTTCTGGTTCTGACATCTAAAATTAAGATGAGATCTTTTCCCTCCATAATCAGTGAACCCACAAATGATTCTAAAGCTGATTTGTTATTAAAACATGTCTGTGGCCTTTAGGCTACATGCAGGAATAAAGAGATAAAACACCAAAGGAGACTCTATACTACCCCAGCAGAGTACAGCTGATGATGATGTTGAATTATTCGAACCCCTCGCTGAGTGTCATACTGACTGATTTAAGTGGAACTTACCCGCTCACCTGAGTTTACCTGTCAAATTTAAGCACATCAGTGTTACACCTACGGATCAGATGTCATCCCCTCCACCCTTAACTAAGAAAACTTCTGATGTTGACCCAGATTAAAGAGTGTGTGTTGTGTTTTTTTACCCTCCGTCCCTGCTCCTCTGTGCGGTAGGCGTGTCGGTACAAGCAGGAGAAAACGGCTCCTGGTGGCATGAGCTCGCTGGTCTCGTTCCATCCGTGCGTGTGGCAGAGGCGAGCGGCATCGCCCTGGCACTTCCTGTACAAGACGGGGTCCAGTCTGCAGCACAAACAGCATTTCTAAATAATCTAATGTATGAGTTGTTTCAGAGCAGCAGGAGACAAACTTACTTCCAGTCTCTGGATATGAAATACTGCAGCTCCAGCAGCCGGTGCTCACAGTCCTCCACCATTTTCTCTGTGTACAGATGCTCCATCAGACATGATAGGATCCTACACACACACACACACACACACACACACACACACACACACACACACACACACACACACACACACACACACACACACACACACACACACACACACACACACACACACACACACACACACACACACACACACACACACACACACACACACACACACACACACACACACACACACACACACACACACACACACACACACACACACACACACACACACACACACACACACACACACACACACACACACACACACACACACACACACACACACACACACACACACACACACACACACACACACACACACACACACACACACACACACACACACACACACACACACACACACATTAAAGAATGGTCTACTCACGACACACCCAGGAAACGGCATAAATACACCAAAATATTGATAAAATCCCAGGAGAGAAAATGATTGTTGAAACTTCACGTAATCCTTGTTTGAATTATCAGTCTGGATTATTTGAGGCTCACATCGGGTCTCCACTGCGGATGTGTTTACAGGCTGTCTGGATGACTGATTCACAGGCCTCGTTTAGCGCTCGGTCGATCCGATAATCAGCTCCAGGATCAGCAGACTGAATCAAAGTTTGCAGCTGAAGGAAGAAACAGTTCAGTTGTTTATAAAAAGTCAAAAATCTGCACTAATAAGAGCGTAACATGAGGGGTCTTACTGCATTCTGACAGATGCTGTCGATGGCAGAGGTGCGGTCTCCTCGACCGATTCGCATCAGGCAGTGCAGTGTGCGGCCTTTTCGATGCAGCCCGGAGCACTGAGCCTCGATCTCCGTCCGACAGTGAAGAACAATCTCAGGGCTCAAGGAAAAATCCTCCATCAGCATCCGCCGAAAGTCCAGCATCTCTCCCTGACACTCGCCGCTGACTGGACGACCTGCACAGCAGAACAGCCTTGTTAGTGATGCCGCACGATAGAAACTGTTGCAATGGCATGTTTCCATCACCAGAACCACGAGGCAGGTTTTCCTGACCTCGGTGAACGGCTGCCTCCAGACACAGTAGCAGGTAGGACAGCCGAGCCTCGCGGGCTCGAGGCAGGTTGGTGTCCAGGCTGCAGTGCTGCTTCCTCAGGTCCAGCTTACAGGCTTTAGCCAGAGAGTAGCTGACTTTGTAATCCTGAGAAATCAGCTTCTGTCGGGTCGTCAGGGCGTCGCGGCACTGAGGAGGGGAGTGGAGGTAATCAGCACAGTGTGAGTTAAAACCACGAGGGAGGGGGGAGGGGTCTGTCTGGTACCTTTTCCGACATGGCATCCTCGTACTTGTGATTAAACAGACACTTGTAGACTTTACCTTCTCCTGCCTGAACCTGTGAAGGATAAAAACAAAGTTCTGATCAGGTTGAGTTGAAGGACTCACTCATTCATGTATTCTGTGAAAGTTATTCTGTATGAATAAAAGTTAGCTGATCAGACTCCAGATGTTTGTGTAAAATCCTGCAAGCAACAGAGTGTTCTCACGTTCTGACAGAATCTCTCGCGGTCTTCCCGGCAGGCGAAGTAAAGGTGTCTGTCCAGGTGAAAGTCGTCAGACGACAGCTCGGCGACCCGAAGGATGGCTTTCTGACATTCCTCTTTGATAGGATGAGCGCGATCCGGCTGCTCTGCCTGCCTCACCAGAGCCTTCTCCAGACAGGCGATCACCTCGCCCTGGGAGTGGATGTCCTGAGAAGAGATCAGGGATCACAATGAAACAAGGGCTCCATCACTCACACAGGATAACTCAATAAAAAAACCTGAAACTTAAAGCTGATGAAAATGAAAATGGAGGCCCATTTCAAGAGTAAAATAAAAATGATGAGAATAAATTAATATTAAGATTAAACCTACAATACCCATAATGCCTTGCCTCAATGAAAAATTATAACCTAATATTCCAGAACAAGCTTTTATAAAACTGCTGATTTTTAGACACAGAAACCATAATTTACATCTGGAGCCATACACAATCTCTAAAGGAACTTCTTAGCAGTCCTGCTGGTTTTAGGATGAAAATGAGTTTTACTGGAGACCATGATTAAATAATAACTATTAAGGCTGAATAGGTAACAAGAGACACAGAGTTTTGTAGAAAATATTAAGTTATGTTCCCAGCTTTGCTGAACTTGCATTCCTGCAGAGACATGAAGACAACCCAGCAGGTCTCCAGGTCTGACGAGCGGATGCCAGAGTTGGACTGTGCCTCATCACAATGGGCTGTCCTGCTATGCAAAGCTCATCTAAAACGTGTTTGGATTGTCTGAGCTTTTGTTTTGCTGCTTATTTAAAGTTCTACCTATGTAGCACATCACTCACAACTCTCAGATATTATTGATGATCTTCATTTGCTGAAATAAGCAATTAACTCCCTTCGGATCTTAATGAGGGCAAATTTTAGAACCCACAGATTCTGCAGCTGACAGATGCTCAGACGGACCCGCGGTTTCAGACACATTTGTCTTCCGTAATTCTGCTACTTGGCGTTCTTTTCTTTCCAGCGTTTTGTAATCAGATCCAAGTACAAGTGTGAAGGCTGAAACCAGGATCATACGCTTTCTTTGCATTGAAAAACAAAACAAAAAACTCCTGCCTGAACAAGCATTTTGGTGGTTATTTTCTATGGTGTGTTGGATTGTTCAAGCTTGATTTTAATCTTTAAAATGGTATTGAGACTATTTAGAATAGTATTTTAGGCTTCTATGGCAAATTTGGAAAACAAATTAGCTTAAAAATCTGTTCATGCCTCCTAACAACGCTCCAACATAGTATAGCTATAGAAATATTGTGGAGATTCTAAAACAAATAAAAAAAATAAAAAAAGGAAGAAAAAATAAATAAAGTGGTTAATTTACATTTGTCTAAAACCCTCCACCAACAAAATGGCTTGGACCATCCACTTGTTGCTCTCACTGAACCATCACACTTCCGCACTTCCCTGGGTTCGCACATATTTAGCAACAGAACACCACTGGTGTGAGAGGTTCTCCCTCAATATCAAAATCAGAAATTGAGAAACAGCCAGCTGCTACCACTTCAACTTTAGGACACACTATCAGAGTCCCAAAAAGAAAAACACCATTTGAATTCCTGAACAACAAAAGACATTTGGACCTAGAAAACAAAGATTGGTGTTTAGCGCCATCTCGTTTCCTCTTGCAGTGTGGGTTTTTGGTTCCAGTGGACGTGGATCCAGGGAAAATACCCAAGGGGATGAGTGAGTGTTTGCAGATTCGCTATAGCAGCTTTAACATTAAGATATTATTCTTGTCTCCTTGTTTTTTAAAGGGGACATTTTATGAATTTCTTAAATTTTAATTTTTCTCTGGTTGATAAAAAACATGTTTATGAAGTTCCTTGCACTAAATCCCTCTCACTCAAAATTATTTCAGTAGTTTTATTCTTGACAGTTTCAGTACCAAACAGAATGAGCTGTTTTAGGATTTCGTCACTAAGAAAAAAGGCTGCAGCTGGCCACGCCCACCCATCCCCCCACTCAGGCTGCTATTGACCTTTTGCACGTGACGTCACATCGCTCATGTGACCGCCCCCTTTGCCATGATGGATGGCAAAAAGACCGTTTACACACGTAGAAACTCCAGTGAAGGTAGTCAAAACAAGCCAGTTTGTAGCCTTTTATCGCTTTTATTTTGGTGATTTGACAGTAAAATGGTTTTAGCTTGCTGCGTGGTTGGCTGCACTAAGAGACAAGGATGTAAACGCAACTCATTTTTTCTTTTTAATAACTTTGATCGCTGCAGTTCGTCTCCGTCCTCAGTCTCCATCAATCAATCAAGCGGACTAGCAGGCCTCAGATTTGCAGCGAACATGTTTTTACTGGGTAAGATTAACGTTAATTTATTTCACGAGGAAGACAGGGACAGGGATAAATGTGTTGTGTTTATACTAGTTATTGACAATCCTGATGGATGGGTATTTCACAACGGAGGCTGCGCTCCGTCCACTGTAAAGCGAGACAATTATTAACACTATTAAAGCTCCGATAAATAATTACGTGTGTTAAAAATTACGTTATTTATTTATATGAGCATCGGCATTCAAAGATCTTCTCATTCGGGTGTGAGAGCAGCAGCTGAACCCGGTATCACCACCAGCAACAGAAGCTGGTAGAGATCCGGACTTTTTAAAAATCAGCTTTGGTGTGAAGTGAAACGTTGTTTATTACATAGTTATAAATCCAGAGGGGTGAATTCAGGCAAAGTCAGCAACATGTTTACATCGGTGAACAGCTGCTGAGAGAACGTAAGCTAACGTTGGTAAGCTAGTTAACATACCGCTCTCTATGAGCCCCCGCTAGATGCGCTACTTCTTCTGATAACTGAACTGGGCATGAACTAGTTGAAGAAATGCTGGAGGAGTTTTGTTTTTGTTTTGATCGCAAAAACAATTTCAGGCTCTACTTTTACCTTTGTTTAGTACTCGTGTTGCTCACTATCGTGTTGCTCACTGTTTACATGCTTTTGCCGTCCACCATGGTGGACCCACGTGATTAGGTGACGTCGGTGCAAAGGGTAATAGAGCTACGGACGTCATGTGACTCTCAGAGAGTAGACGCCATGTTGGCAGGCAACAAAGGTAAACAAAATGAATGGGATCGGCTTGGATTTTACTCAGAGTTTACTTCACACTTTAAAACCAAAGAAATTGTTTCATATAGTCAGAAATTAAATAGATTAAACATCTCCGACCGTACCGTGCCCCTGGGATACTTTTTAGAAACGCCAGAAGCTGTCAGAGCGGACCTGGCCAGGGAACGCCTTAGATTTCCCCAGAGGAGCTGGCCCAAGTGGCTGGGGAGAGGGAAGTCTGGGCCTCTCAACTTAGGCTACTGCCCCCACGACCCGACTCCGGATAAGCGGATGAAAATGAATGGATGGACAAATAACATAGATTTACATGCAAGAAGTTTAAATAGAGTGCTGTGCTGTTTGAATGTATAAACTGAACTCCAAGAGAAATCACTAGTATGATTTTTTTCCCGTGAATAAATAAATATGTCAGGCAGGAGCGTCTCAGGATCTGCCTGAGATATGTCTCGGTGAGACAGATAATGGCAATCCAAAGTGCTTTTTATGTGTGATCTGACAATTGATCAACCATTGCTTAAAAATTAAATACAGTTTAGCCGGTTAATTGCTGTGATCATAAGACACGTAAACTACAGCACCCAGAAATCACGAGGCAACGTTTTACGTGATGTTTACTTGTTGCTATGAGTAATAGGACAGAAAAAGCCACACTAAAATAAGTTTAGGAAGCCCACTAAGAATCGTAATAAAAGCATCTGTTGAAACACCTTCCTTCTGCATCAATCTTTCTCTTCCTGGACATTTTGGGATGATGTGTGGACAGTTATTTTCACTTGTTGCATGAATTAAACACGGAAGTGGCGACCTAGTGGTGAGTCATTGCACTGGGAACACAATCGCCATGCATTATGGGAAATGCTGTTCACAGTCAATGTGCACTTTGAAGCGTCATACTTATCTTAAGACACTTGAATCTTTCACGGGCCACATAGAATTATGTGGCGGGCCACATCTGGCCCGTGGGCCTCATGTCTGACACATGTTGCTGCTGCTCCTCCAGCAGCGGCTCTCTCTTACATGTGAGAGGTGGTTCTACTCTAATGTCCCCATTTGTGACATCACAAACAGGGGTTTTATCAAACAGCTCATTTCAGGCAGACAATTCCTAAAACCAAACACTGACGAAAAAATGAATGAACAAATTGGTTCATAAATGAGATGCTTAGAGGCATTAGGGACCCACACTTAGGGTTGTCACGGTAACCGGTATAGCGGTAAACCCCGGTAAAAAAGTTGACAATAAAAATAACCGTCCAGTTTTTAAAAAACTAAATTATCTCGGTGGGTTTACCTTGGCCGCGGTTTTGGCGCGGTGACCCTTACCAGCCACCGTCGCTTCAGCTGAAGTTCCCGCGGCGCGCACACGCACTTTTTAGTTTGCAACGGCACCAAAACTTTGAAGCTGAAATAATGGCCGAAGGAGGAGACGGCAGCGCCCAGGACATCCATCAGCCCACAAAGAAGACTAAATCGGAAGTATGGGCATATTTTGGATTTCTGAAAAATGCTGAGGGACAGTTAATAGAAGACGGCTATCCCGTTTGCAGAACGTGCAGGAAAAAAGTGTCTGCAGAAGGCAGCAACACTTCGAATCTAATGGCACATCTGCGTGACCATCACCCATGTCTCTACAGCCAGTGCAAGGTAAGTTAACATTAGCATTTTAGCTTAAATGCATGACGTGAGGACTTTTGGCTGAGGGAGAATGCAACGAGTCACTATAGACTGCAGCCGCAGCGTCCTCTGCCAGCATTTAAACCGTGTCACGGACACCCTGTTGCTGGATGAAGCATCTTATTTGTTGATGATGAAGAGAAATATACAATTAGTTCCTTGTCATTGATTTCTTTACTTATTCAATGCCATTTATACTTGAACATTTGGATTTGATCACATAGTGTAGTAGTTATTTTAGTCATTTGTTTAAAGTGGCTATTTATTTTAAATACATATTTTTTAAGGTTGACTTGTACAGTGCTCAAGTCAAGTGTGGACTGGAGTTTTAGATTTTCATTTTGATAATGAAGAAAACAAGTATATGAGAAAACAAGTGGTGTTTCTTTGATTTGTTTACATATTGTTTATGTTTTGAATGTTTGGATTTGTATAATTTAAACCTGCACTGACTACTGTAACATGTTCCAGAAAAAGAAGCTATTTGTTCCTTTACTTGTGAAAAGTTGCACTTTTGCTAAGGCTTTGTGTTATTTTAGGTTTAATAAACACTGTTAAACTATTTCAGTTTGTGTAGAACAGGACTATCAATGCTTTCTGAACATATGCAACACCGTTTAAAAAAATACCGCGATAATACAGAAAACCGTGATAATTTTGGTCACAATAACCGTGAGGTTAAATTTTCATACCGTGACAACCCTACCCACACTGCAGCATAAAAGTGTGGAACACTCACCTTCTGTCCTACGTTGATGCTGCCACAGTGCAGGCTGTTTATGTCTTCTTTGCATTTGTCCATAAACCCACAAATCAGTCTGTAGTCACTAAAGATGACACTGGTGATCTTGGTGATGTACTGGCTGCACTGGTACTCGCTGATGTTTCCTCTGTGATCCACAAGGCATGACACCAGGTAGCCCTTCCCCCTCACCTCCTCGTTACACTCCTTTATCTGCAGGTGTGGAGCACATAACAGTAAACTGGACTGAACAACAACAACAACATGGATACCAGCTGAAGACGGACGGACCTCAGCGATGGTGCTCCTGCACACTTCTGTGGCTACAGACTCAAACTTTGGGTCTGTTGTCAGATTTAACTTGTAGTTCCACAGGAGCTGAGGGAGAGATTGGTGCAAGAGGTTAAAAGCACTAAAGTGTACAGCAGGGGTCAGAATGTTCAACAACTACATGCATCTAAATGTGTAAAATAACTCACGTGGTTGCAGTCAGGAGAGAGCTCTATTTCCTGCAGAAAATAAAGTAAATACTGAAATGAATGGACATGTTGATGAACAAAGATGGAGCGTCTCATCTTCATGGTTTCCTGTAAGGAAGTTAAACTACCAGGTTGTTTTTCTTAACTGCACGTTAAGTTATTCATTATTGCTGTGGAGAATTTTAACTGTTTGACTTCGTCTTGCCTGAAACCAAAAACCTGTTTTTATAAACTTTAGCTGGAAAAAAATAAAAACTGAAAATGGATAAGTCTCTCGAAAAGATGAATTTAGTAAGAGGTTGAGTACTTTTGCTCATTAAATTCGGATTATTTGATTTATAGAAGCTTGTTGCAGGAACATAGTTGGTCATCATGGCCAGTTTTATATAAAACATGCAAGATTAAACATCAAATAAACTCACATTCAGAGCCGACTAAAGACCCAGAATTCCTTGAAAAATGATCCATCATTTCCCATCTTTCAGAGTATTAAACTAAAACCATCTTGTGTTGAGAAATGGATTCGAAAGCAGTTTTATTTAAAACGAGAACATGACAGAACCCTGTGTGAACTGTTAGCACTCAGATCAGATGTGCTGAATGACTTACATGATCAAATTTTAGTCAAATTTTCTGAGTTGAATCCATTTTTGCGTTTGCTGACGATCATTAGCCGGGCCAGCCATCTTTAATGGGGTTAACAGGTTAAACATCTTGCCGTGTGAAGAGGTCTTAGCGGAGAGACGTGGCTTCACCTTGGTGAACTCAATCTTAGGGCTGCACAATTAATCGTAAAAAAAAAAAAGTGATCTCAATTCATACGTGTATACAATCTCATTTCCAAATGACACCATTTTAAGCAGCTGGCTAGATAAAAAAGGACTATGTTCTCTGTTCTGGTCCTGCCATGGTCAACAACAACCATGTTGTCATTTTAAATGTTATATTTTGTTAATAACTGTGGTTTACATTTTAAGAAACACACCTATTATCTACCTCTCTCATCAACTTACAAGCAAAGAGAATATTGCTCAAAATTGTTATTGTTTAAATTATTCAAAAGCTGTGTACGTACGAGACAAGAGGCATTTATTGTTTTCATGTTCAGTGACAGCTGTTACAAAGTTGATGTGCAGGTAATAAGTGCAATAAATACTCTAAAAAATCATGAGAGAATCATGATCTCAATTTTAAGCAAAAAAATGTGTGATTCTCATTTTAACCAGAATAGTGCTGCCCTGCTCAATCTTATCACTGAGTTAACTGTAGTAGAGATATTAGCGTTGAAAATTATTCAGCCATGACTTTTACATCATAAACGCCTTCAAACTTTTATCTCCATTTTACTTTTGCCATATCTGCAGGGATGAAGTGACGTGCTGCTCCTCTCGTCTACTGCTAGTCTCTTCAGTCTCTCTCAGACACAATAACTGCCCATCAAGGCTGAAACGTAAAAATAGCCAAACAAAAACAGACAAGTCGGCATCAGTAAGGACGTCTGCAGACAGATATCTGACAGGAATGTGCTTCAAGCTATTCAGCATCCTTATCGCTGCCAGTCTGGAACCAGTGGGGGCTGGGGGAAAGTTTATGGGGAGACAAAGAGACTTGCTGTGCAGCAGTGAGTTTATAACGGGCGTCTTTCAGACATTCAGAAAAACATAACTGTTTACCTATTCAGTAGAGTGTGTGTGTGTGTGTGTTAGGGAAGGATGGCTTCAACTTAATAGAAAAAATTAAATAAAAATACTTCTGAGACAGATGGCTTTTTAAGTGTAAATGCATCCCATCAGGGTCATGATGTCACCTTTTCAGCTACTTATACACAGCTCTGAGGTGTACAGTAATTGACACACTGACAACTCTAAGGTGATGTCAACTCTTCACCAAAGCAGGAACAAACGGTAAAAAATGGTAAACGGCCTGTATTTGATATAGCGCCTTCTAGAGTACTGGAACCCCCCAAGGCGCTTTACAACACAACCAGTCATTCACCCATTCACAGTTCACACACACATTCACACACTGGTGGTGATGTGCTACATTGTAGCCACAGCTGCCCTGGGGCGCACTGACAGAGGCAAGGCTGCCGAGCACTGGCGCCACCGGTCCCTCCGACCACCACTAGCAGGTAATGTGGGTTAAGTGTCTTGCCCAAGGACACAACGACAGCGACAGACTGAGCGGGGCTCGAACCTGCAACCTTCCGATTACGGGGCGAGCACTTAACTCCTGTGCCACCGTCGCCCCAAGATAATTAACCACCAAAATATCATGACCAAAACAAACAAGAAGTTTGTCCAGAGGAACACGCTCAAAACATCACCCAGCTGCACTACAACAGCCTGAATCATGCTGCTTTACACCTTCCGGAGCAATGGTAGGCACTTTATGATAAAACTTTACAATCGGCATGATGGAGATGTCATTTTTTTTATATCAAATATAAGTTATTTTACTGACCCATACTTCAACCCGGAAGTAAGACTCTTGGATTCAATCAAATCCCGCCTCCACCCCGTGGGATTTACAGAATCTGCCGCAGACCCAGACTCATGTTTGCTGCACCTTCACCATCACGTCCCACTCTGCCCAATTTAGATTTTATAGTTGGACAAAGCATTTTATAAATACTGCATAAGGTGAAGAGCAGGAAAAAGAAATGGCAAGTTTTGGTGCAGACAGATCCTAAAGGATTACAAGTTTTGGTTTTTACCTGTGAATGTAGGAATGTTTATGGGAAGTGTGGTGCTGCTGGTTGATGACTAAACCCAGTTAACTATTGCTGAAGTCAATGAGGGTTTATGAGGAAAAACCCAACACCTCAGCAGAGAGCATATATTAGATTGCTTGGAAAACAACAGCATCAAAAACATAGGAACGTTGTTTTTATATCAACAGATGAAGCACTTCTTCCCCATGAGTGAATGTGATCAACCAGCTGATAATTTGAGCTGCACAGCTTCTCAGAGGCAAAATGTGGCTGTGAATAGAATAATAACAAGCTTTTTCTGCCAAAATGTTTAAAAATCTGGTGGGCGACATGTCTGAAAACAGGCAGAGGGAGGGAGGGATGTTATCAGAGGCAAAAATAAACAGCAATGAAAACGTAAAGTCTGTGGTTTATAACTTTGACCTACAAGTCACATGACAGCCACATGACTGCACACAAATCAGCTCACTTAATATCTAAACGAGTAAATAATTGATCCTCCGAGGTCACTCCATGGTGCCGAGCAGGGTGTGGGGGCAAAAAAAGCTTAAAACAGGGGCAAAAACATACCTGCTACAATACTAATGCAACAATTTAATGCACGCCATGAAATATGCATAAATGTAAAACGTCTGCATGTATCTTACCTTTAAACTCAATGAAACACGAGCAGATTCTGATTAATTAGTAGTTTACTTGTTTTTAGTCCACATACAAGATGCAGTTCTTATTTACCTGAGATTAGTTGGGGAACACTTTTATTGGCTTTAATGTCTTTTTGTCAGCACATCCTTGCTTTAATGTTATTAGGTGACAATTAACCAAAAAATAAGAAAAAAGCCAGGAAGCAGAGACTGAAATGAGCTGCAGAGTCAGAGAGAGGACGTAAAAAGACCTGAGGGTCTGTGTTTAGTCAGGTCCTTTAAACCCAGGAGCCTCGTCATCTCTTAATTTCTCCCTGAAAAGCAAATATTTCATTTTCTGATTTACGCAGTACGTCAAAAACCAAAAGAGACTGACAGAGACCCAGCATAGCTCAGAGGATGAATCACTGGGATTTTTATGCTTTAACGCTTCATTTGAACCGTGTTGTATGGAAGAGTTTGATGCAGTTTCCAAGAGAAAAACTAACAAGTCAACGCCTTGGCTTCTGGTGTTTTAAGTGTCTGTCCTCGTCTGGACACAGATGAAGACATGGTCGTTTCTCTTCCTCAGAGCCAAGCTGAAAAACGGTGGACCACCGGAGCGACACACCCCGTGGGTGTCTATCCCCTTACGGCATAAGCGGAGCCAGCCAGGATGTGTGACGCTCACCTCTTTGCGGTCCTGCATGCATTCCAGAACCGCCAGGATGTTGGTCCAGGTGTGCTTGGGGCAGAGGCGGGTCAGGTCCTCCCGGCAGGCCTCCTCCTCCGCCAGCTTCCAACCGGTCGTCCGTCGAAGCTGAGAGGCCCCAGCGACGACAGGTGCCTCCATGACTCTGACGCCGTGAGGATGGGGTGGTTCTGCCGGGCCGCTCGGAAACTTTAAGCCCAGGACAGAGACGTAGCTACAGACACACACAAATAAAAAGCGCAGCAACAACAGCGGAGAACGACTGTGTGCCGCCATCTTCACATAACCGTTAACTTATGCTAGCGGTCACTACCTAAACCGAACATCCACCGAAAACGACTCGCGCATGCGTGACTGTCCGACGTTCACTACGCATGTCTGAAAGCGGACAAAAGGTGGATTTGTAAAATTTACAAGTGACCATAGCGCATGCAGACAGCTGCTATGTGCACGAACACTGGTGCTCATTATTTCACAACACTTACTTTTTAAACACGAATAGCCTCTCCGGTCATATTCTGCGCATGCGCGATTTATGACAGCGGACCATGAGAATCTGGATTTAATGGGTTGATTTGTTTTTATAGCTTCTTTCTAAAGCAAAATGTAATTTTATTACATCAGGAACAAGAACATGATATGGATTAGTCTTTTATTTTTAAGCTTTCTTTGTCTAGTAAAGTTTATTGACTCATGAACACTTATTGGCCAAAATTCAACCACTCCCAAATTACAAAGCACATTAGTGGAGCTAAAATGTGATTAATCCCTATTCCTATTTTAACTTTTCTCATAAAGTATCTGCATTTTAACTGGTTTGGCTTTAATTTCTCTGGTAGCTGTCAAATGAACAAGACACACTTATCGGTTTGTGAGCTAGTTGAAGGTTCTAAACTACGAAACATGTTACACTGGTATAATCCTACATTTCCAATATAACTGGAAAAGATCACGAACTGCAGCATTTTCCTCTCTATCTATCTTCTCTATCTTTGTATGGAACTCAGTGTCAATAAACCCTTGGCCAAATAAAAACAATGATTGTAAAAGTTGGTGCTTATTCTAAATGAAACACATGGTCATGTGGTTTTCAGAAAACGCATGTGACGCTGCCTGTTTAGCTTGTTGACTGCGTTGGGTTCCACCCTCCAAGATTTGAAGGGAGAAAAAATATATATAATATATATACTTTATATTAGTGTTTCAGTTTTGCTTAATTATGTAGGTCTACATGCATTCTTACTTATTTACATATCATTTTCACCAACTGTCTCTCATTAAACAGTGAATTTCCTTCAACAGAATTAGCAATATCACTGCTGGAAAAAGCAGGAAATGCACATGCTGAAATGTGTTAATCTCCTTTTCCCTTTGACTCCCTTAAAATGTGTTTATTTATTCTAAAATTTTATTTGGTGATAAAATTCAAATTTGGATATCTAATTAAATGTCCATGTTGTGTCAAAGTTTTACATAACTACATTTTCAGCTGTCTTTCCTCTTGAAATCAAGTATTTCTGTATGACTGACAAAAATTAAGGATTCACTGCTCATAAGGTGACTTCTTTATTATGTCTCCATGGCTTCATCATAGACACAAAATGAATAACCACACAGTTCAAAACGGAGTCAATTAGGGTTACATAAAATTTTAAAGTTGGATAACTTTGCATGAATACATATATAAGTCTCTAGAAACCCATTTTTCTCAACAACAAAAAAAAACAGCTAAAAATATATTCAGCCTTGATTGTACACACTTTATTATTTACAGTGATATAATTAATAATGCTCCTGAGTGACATACTTGGTGACAGACTAAATAACAATGCCTCAACCTGCCCAGCATCCAAAACAATCTATACATTTTTACTGATTGATATATATAATTATCATTATGTGGAAAAACAATGTGTTTATCACCAAAAATAGCCCGTTTATATTCCTTTGTAATAGTACTGATAGAGAAGAGAGCCTTAAGTGATTCCCACAGACCCCCTTAAATGAGGCTGCTAGCTAACATGCTACATTGCTCACATTCTTGAGGTTCATTGGGTTGTGAGGGGACACCTGCTGACATATCATCAACTGCTGATTCTGATAGGGACAAGGACTACAACCCATATACCATAACTAGATGAAACATAGTTCCTCTCACTGTGGATATCAAAGCTAGCAAACAGGTTGAATTTAACCACTCACTAACTAAACCCACCTTTCTTTGAGAAAAACTGTGTGACATACTGACGCCCTCTCCTCTGCCTGTCCTCTTTCTCCTTTCTTTCTTTCCTTTTCTGTGACCCAGACTTTGTTTTTTCAGACATGCAGCCTTGGCACACTCTGCTGTCTGACTGCTGCGTGAGTTAGCCTGGCCTGCTACGCACCGCTCGACCAGGTGGACTGTCAAAATAAAGTAGGGACCTCTGAATGAATACACATTTCATGCAGACTAAAAGATTGTTTGTTTAATGTCTTAAATGAGAAAAAATACTGCAAAGTAAAGTACTTGTGACTTTTAAACTTTATTTATTTTGTATTCAACTTTGAAACTTTTTTGGGCCCCTGACAGCTGTGGGCCCTTAGAATCTTCCTAATCTTGCACCGCTTTATGGCGCCCCTGATCATGCCTTGCAGGTGTTTTGCAGCAACTGAGAGTTTGCCATTTCCAGTGCTTCAGCAAGACCTCTTTTTTAACTCTGCTTTGCATCAACAATGAATAGTGTAACATCCAAAAGGGTCAAATTTCACCTATACCGGTATATTGATCAACATAATAACCTTTCATCTACAGAAATAAATCCACTTTCTATGTGGCCTTCTAAATCCAGAAGGTTCTGCTCAGCGCATGTTGACATTCCATGAAGACAAAACATTCAAATAGACACTCTGTCCCAAGGTCCTACACTAGGGTGACGATATTTCCATTTCCAAAAAAGAGGACAGGGGATCTGTGCCTATGATGTCACACTGAGGCAACGCCACACAAACCACGTTGGGACCCATTTTTTTCCAGGTAAGAGCTAAAATTAATATCAGATTATGACAACAAAAAAGGCTCTAAAACAATTCATATGTAAATATTTTGCATATTTATTGCAAAATCTCATATTTGCTTTAGTGCTGCAACAACGTTTTATTGATAAGAAATTATTATACCTTTTGTTTTACTACAGCATCGGTAAGTTTCTTGTGCACAGATTATTCAGGATGCTTGTCTCAGCTGTGATATTAGATGATGGGATCAATGATAAAAAAGTTGTCACACACTCCATGGAAACTTCCAGAGTATCCACAAATAGTGGCTTTCAAATAGTTTTGTTACTTTTTGCAAGTTTAGAAAAGCAACAGATGAGACAGCATGTCTGATAGTTTTGTTTTTCATCTGATAATATTAGAACCTGTCAGTAATGTCCGAGGGACTTTTACAAACACTGTATAACTAATGTTCCTTGGCCATGGCCCCCAGAATGCCTTGACACGGCCCTGGGTGTGTGACTGAGTTTTGAAAGTGATCTGCATTGTATCAAATGTATAAATATTACATGGGTATAACTTATTGTTTTATACAGGTAAAAACGTGTAGTGGAGATAAATCTACTTACATTTCACTTTTCAACACTTTGTTTTGTTTTCTTGTTTTTATTTAACTATTTTCCTGTCCTGTCTGTCTCTCATCTTCCTGCATCTCCTCTAAACTCTCCAGAAAAGCTGCTGCCTGGATTCTTACTTTTTCACCTCATTTGTTACTTTTGTGCAGATCAAAGGGATCTCCTGACCGTAAAGCAGTCTGTGTCTGTGTATAGCTGTATATGTCAGGTGGGGTCTTGGACTCCTCCCCTCTCCTGGGACTTTTTGTGCTGCTACACATCTTCTCCTCCCTTCCACCCGCCACATTTGGTGTGGACTGTGGTGCCCTGGTCTGCCTGAGTGTTCACAGATCCCGGGTCTTGGGGTTTAAGATTTTTGGCATCTACCTGATTGATCCTGGTGGCTGCCTGGTGGGATCTGAGTCCCTGGGCTCTGTTGTGTCCCGGAATCTGGGCTCGGCTAGCTTGGGGGTGGGAGGCTGCAGGTGGGCCTGTGGGCTTGCCACTGAGATCTCCCGGGACCATGCCGGCTGCTGGTTGTGGCCCCCCGGGGCAATCCTCTGCGCCTCTCGAGAGGGGGCTGGGTCTTTCCTGTTTTCAGTCTCCCTGCGCTCTGGGGCAGCTTCTGAATCTCTGGGACTTGGAGCTCCCCCCGTCTCCTACACATCTTTGGGGGCAGATCTGTGGCCCCTCACACTCTCTATTGGATGCTCCTATAGAGAAACCTTACATAAACAAGCGTGTGTACGCACACATGTGCTCACATGGTGCTCTCATAAGTATGGACTTGGGCATTTTCAACACGTCTTAAGGCTGTGGTTGGCACTAAATGCACTGTGATTTATTATTGTGTGATTGTTCAGTAAAACAATGTTGATTTTATACTTCCTCAACAGGTTGATGCAGTGATAGCTTGCTCTTTATTTGTGTCCTTTTCATTTGTATATTTTTGTTTGTTTTGCACTCTGCAGGTCTCGAAGCAGACTCTTGTTCATCATTGATTGTTTAATTTTGTGGACCCCCCCCCCCATTGTCTCTTCCTTTCTCTTTCACCTCCGTCTCCGTGTTTGGTCAGAATTATAAAACATTCATAAAACAATAACAAAAATGTTTTAAGTATCAGGCATGACATTAAAGCAGAAGCTTTTGGGCCCTTCCCATCTGTACCGGGTCGGCCCGGGCCAGGTAGCATGGATTGTTTACATATCTGGGTGGCCTGGTATTTTTCCGGGCCAACCAAGGCTCATTCTCAGCCCTCTTCTCGAGGGGGTCTGCTTCAGGCCGACCAGGGCCAACACACCCACTGCTGACAGCAAATTCACACCTTCCATTAGAGCAAGCCTCTGATTGGTGGGTAGAATCAGCCCACATGGGCTTAAGACAAGGATGTGTGGAATCAACCGGGGCATGCTGGGGCCGACTGGGGCTACCCGGCCCGGGCCGACCCGGTACAGTTGGGAATGGCCCATTTGATGCTCCACCTCACAGTAAATCTGTAAGGCTTGTCACCAGCATTCAGACATTAATTCTGTTTGCTTCACAGCCAGACAGGACACAGGGGAAAAAAAAAGAACTGAAGTGAAGCTGAAACTATGACTAACTGTTAAAATTTGCTAAATGTGTTTAAAGATGGAGCAAAACTCACTAACACATTTTAATACAGCCCTAAAGGCAGGTGAAGAATGTAGAAACAATACAAACAGCAAAGACCAGAAAACTCAGTTGGAAGAGCTGCACATTGAAACCGATTAAAAAGTTGCCATTTTAGCAGAACTATTTTTTATAATTAAAGTTACACAATTAGTTTAAATGTCAAATTATACAAATATATTTGAAGACCTGACGTTTAAAAGCAGAAAACAAAATGTAGCAGCAATTAAGCATTTCTGTTGAGGTCAGAAGTTAGTTTAGGAAGAGAAAAAAAAGGAAAGCAATCAAAAACATTTAGGTGATTCACAAGGACTAAAAAACAACTGTAGGCACTAAGAAACAATGCATAAAACATATTTGAAACATTTGAAGAACACCACAGTTCCTGTAGGTTCAGCTTGAATAAATGACAAATGAGTTAAATTTTCTCAGTGTTTTAGTTGGCCTATGAACTAGATCAATGCTTTTATTTAGTCTGGCTTGCCAGGCTATGTTTTAGTAGCAAAAGAAAGCAATTTTCTTTTTCAGATGACATTTATTATTTTGACAATAGATGGCAGCAGAGCACTCTCTGTCAGGAGTCACCATGGCAACCTGCTGGCGACTTCAAGGATGCTGTGGGGGAACAGAGGAGGTTCGAGCAATGTGTGAGGTTATGAGAGAGAGAGAGAGAGAGAGAGAGAGAGAGAGAGAGAGAGAGAGAGAGAGAGAGAGAGAGAGAGAGAGAGAGAGAGAGAGAGAGAGAGAGAGAGAGAGAGAGAGAGAGAGAGAGAGAGAGAGAGAGAGAGAAGAGAGAGAGAGAGAGAGAGAGAGAGAGAGAGAAGGACCCTAGTGGTGCCTTCAGGGGGTGCTTTGAAATCACAGCATCAGATTTCTTTTTAGGTGGGAAGCATTCCACCCACCAACAGAACACAACACAACCCAGATGAAATGAGATTGGGTATTAGTGAAAATAATAAAAGTAGCAATTATAAATGTGTTTTACACACAGAGTTCACCTAAAACATGACCTGGATGCAGGAAAATAATCATTGCTTACCTAAACTGAACTCTAGCTGCGGCTTCTCCGAGGCCAGGTTTAAGAGGTAAAAGGTCAAGAAGGGGCACCCCTCCTGGTGGACCCTAAGGTGTTCCTGGACCAGAAGGTAAATATCCTTCAAGATCTGGATGTGCCTTTGGTTCATCTCCCAGAAAATGTGTCTGGAAAACCTTCAGATGGAGGGAACCAGGAAGGAAGAATCCAAGATGTCCAAATGACATTGGTTGACTCATTTTGATGCAGATGAGCAGCAGTATGTCTTCTACCCCTCATTCACACCAAGTATGGAAGTGATGCAGTCTGGTTTCTATATGGTTTTCAGGCAGACTGCCATTTAAACTGACTGCAGTTTGTGTGCTGAACACCTTTGGAAATTCATGCAGAAACTTTCTGGAGCTCCCCATCCGGAACCACAAAGAGTGTGAATGCTCTGAATGGACTCAATGATTTTTGATCTGAAGCCCGGCAGAAACTGGAACAAGGCCTCAGCTCCCTCCAGATGACTGAGCTCATCACCTTTATCTCTAATAGGCTTAGGCCAGGCCACCCTGTAGAAGCTCATCTCAACCACTTGTATCCAGAAGCTTGTTCTTTAGGTCTTGATCTAAATCTAAACCAAAGGTGACAGTGGAATGTAGATGGCGAAGCAAAGCAAGGGTGTTACTGTTAAGCTAAGCTCCTTTCTCCTCATGACAAACAGGAGCACACATTGATAAAGAGGAAACCATAACTATCTATTTGTCCGTACACCATCACGTGTGAAGTCATTGTGGTATTAAAGTCCTCTACTTGAGCCGACCACAATCAGAGGTGTCATAATCGATGCTGGCTGGACTCTATACTACCATCAGTCTTCAGTCCTATTTGCAATGTTCATGGACTGGATCCCAAGGTCTAGTCATGGAGTCTGGAACTCATGGCCTCAGCCTCACCTTTTACAGATCATGTGGTTTGGTTGGGATCTTTGACCCATGACTATCAAGTGCATTTTAGAGCAGAGGATATTACTTCCTTCAAAGTGAAGCCATGGCTCTCAACTAGTGAAAGATATTAAACTAAATATTTTTTTACGTTTCTGCAGCTAAAAATGAAAAAAAAAAAAAACAGCACCCATGTAAAAAAGTGATTCCAGCTAAAACTTAATAACTGGTGATAAGACCCATGGATGCAACAACTACAGTCAGGCATTATTTATTACTGGTAATGAGTCTCTCACATCGATGTGGTGGAATTTCCCTCCATGATTCTTTACTGAATTGTTTTAATTCAGCTTCAGTTTTAGGTCAAAGGTCAGACAGTGCTTCAGAGTGATAGAGGAGAATGCATGGTTCTTTCTATTTCAGGAAGTGATCCAAATCCTGAAGCAGTTAAGCAAACCCAGACCTAACCCAGGGTTAGTTTTACACCCGATGTAACGAAACAAATACCTTACAGAAAGTTCTACTTTTGTCTTGTCGTGAGGAGTTTTTTGACAAATGTGAGAAGGCTTCTTTGTTTGGTCAACAGAGTTCTGACATTCTAACTCTCCCAACTAGAGACAGACCGATATACTGTTCAGTTGATGATCCGGGCCGATACTTACTTTTTATTTTTATACATCAGCATAGACCTCTACTTCTTTGGTAGAACTAATTTAAAGTAAGGCTCATCCAGGGAGATAGGACATTTTAATATCCAGCCTTGCAAGCCATTCTATAAATGAATATATAACCTGGCCACGACCCAGACAGTGGGGCAGAATCGACGGTTGACTTTTAAACTGTCTTCACATGCTTTTGGACAACTTTCAACAGGACAAACTCAGATTTCAGTCAACGAAGCAGTCTGCCATGCACCGTCAAAGAAGACACAAATACACCCTTTTTCTGTGTAGAGGATTTAGGTACATCTAATCTGCTCTTAACTCAAACAAAAGCCCAACTCTAGTCCAAAGTCAAGCTGTCACCATCTTTGTTTTTTCTCTCAGTCGCATCATCCCGCCCTCCAAACCAATAGAGCGCTGTGATGTGATGTGAGACACAAGACCTTTCAGGTCTGTTAAGGCCCATTTGGAGAGTAGTTGGACTGACCTGCAAAGCAACATCACTTTGCTTGTGCTACGGTCCGTCTAGATAGGCTAGCTGAAAAGAGTAAATGATAGTTTACATGACGATGTTAAGGATTACTGGTTAAAAGCTAAAATGACTGAATGCATTTTGTTGGTGTGTTTTAGCAGATGGTTATTGTTTTCAGTCCATGGTGTTTATTTTTGATATTTTTCAGTTAGATTTTTTTTATTCAGTTGTATTTATTTTATTTAAATATTCACATCCCTGGACAGCCAACCTGTCCTGGGTGTAGCTACCCCGCCTGTTTGCACTATGACTGCTGGAGTTAGATTGATTTCAACACTGAGCAATACAGTAAACTTACAATTCCAGAGTTGGTTTAAATCCAGTGTTCAAAAACTGATTCAGGTTCAGCAATGTTGTGCATCAAATGTTGTCCATAGTGACATTTTAGCATGTAAATAAGGTGGAAATCGTCTAGATATCGGCCATGAAAATCGGCCAAATAATATATCAGCACATCTCAGCCACGGCTGATCGTGACTTATGGCAACAGAATGTGGCTGATATCTATGATCAACATAACCAAGTGAGACCTGATGTTGTTCCGTGTTTTGTTCTTTAGAAAGAGGTGTTACATGAAACTTTACACGGTCTTTGAGCCTACAGCAGAAAGTAATGTCGTAATGGCAGGCAGTAATCAGGTATGGGTGTGGCAGGTGATATTTTTCTTTTTCAAATCGTTTCCTGATATTGGGATTAATCATAGGAAATAATAATCCAACAAAGAGAGCAATCCTTTTTCACAATAAGATAATTTGGAGTCAGCGTTTTATTTACACAAGATGTCCGATGTTGAAATTTGTTTCCTGATCCGCAACATTTATGCGTGACTAAAAAGGAAAAAAAAAAAAAACCTGTAAGTGGGCAAATACCCTTTTCCTCGAAGCATTGCATATAACCGACAGCTTATGAACGCAGCACAGAGCTGCACCGCGTGCAACTTGAAGGAGCAGACAGTCACAGCTTCGCCGCGCACGAGCCGGGCGTGGAGCGTCTCCACCGGGAGGACACCAGGAAGAACCCCGCCGGGTGAGCGTTTCCTCCTGCCGCACACGCACGTCTCTTTTTCTGTCCTTGTTCGTTTAATGTAGGAAATGACGGCGACTTTCCAGAGAGCTCGGAGGTGCGGCTCCTCTCAGCCGCGGAGGTCTCCTGCAGGGATGCTGCTGCAGCGCTCAGCATGCAGTTTGCTCCTGACTCAAACTCTGTTTGTCAGCTGACTAGTCAAGGCTGAGTGGACGTGGTGACCACGATGTACACACTTCATCTTAAAAAGTTGTGTGTATCTTTGAAGTCCATGTCTGCAGCCTAAAAACTAAAACATGCACATGTTTGTGTTCCAGAAGCTGACAGATCGGGTCACCAGCAGGAGAAGACAAGCTCTCCAGAGGATCAAATATCCACAGCAGCTGAGATGTTTCCTGGAGGCAGTGTCATTTTGATCTCTGGTTCCTGTTATGCTCCCTGAAGCTGTTCTCAGGTCAGCCCCTCAGGACCAGCAAGCACAAAGACACCCATCCAGAAACAACATGACTGAGCTGCAGCATGCGGCTCAGGCTGGATCCCTCCACAGACTGGGTGTCACGTTTTTAATGAGGCAAAGTTGATGGACAGGAAGCTCCTCTTGCTTTTGGATTGACATTCATGCGCCATAACTGGAAGTTAGGTGGGAAGGGGACAGGAATACTCTGAGCAGGTATTTCCCTTCACGTCCCCGAGAGGTCTGTTGCAAAGAGGCAGTGAGGGAACCTTGTCTACTGGAAGATGGAGGCTGGAGGAGAGGCTAGTCCACATCAGCACCAGAGGAGGAAGCCCGTGCTACACGGATTGGAGGATCAGAAAAGGGTGAGTCAGATATCCTCTCACCTGCACCCTGTGTACAAATTCGATGACTATGCTTTTGGTAAATTGTTGCTCTGCCAAGATAACCCCCACAAAACAAGCCTGCTTCTTTCTAATAAAAATACACTCTAAGAATATTTTAAGTCTTCAAACATAGTTGTGACACGTGGGACATGATGATATTGATTCAGAACTCAGGGAGGAGTGGATGGAGTCTCTGTTGATGTTTTAAGGTTAGGGTGTAGCATGGAGAAGCATTTCTGCAGCACGAGTGATGGAATATTTCATGCTGTGACTCATTCTCCCTGTTTCAGCTTTTTTCCCACATATTTTATGCAGCATTTGCTCTGCTCCAGGTTTAGGATTCACTACACATTCCTGTCGCTCTACAAGGTCTGATCCCCTTCTTTTTTATTTAAAAACATGTTTTGTTACAGAATATTTTAGAGAACACGCTCTGGCCCCATGTGAGGAGCACCATTGGCCAGAGTGGCCAGTCAGGACCGATCTGTTGCCTTTGTGACGTCCTGTCATGAGGGGATCAAGGGCTTTATTGTGTGCTGTTGCTTGCATCTTACATGCACTTTGTAAAATTACTCAGACATGTCAGAAAATCTACAGGCTTTTCTTACTTTTGCTCAAAAAATGAGCGAATACTTTCCCTGTGACTGTGTGCAGCGTCTGATTCAGAGTCCATTAGTCTTCATTTTTAAGGTCAAAGCAGAGTGAACTGCTGGAGTTTTTATGAAAGTGGATGTCTTTTCTCATCTTTTGTTGTGATTTATGACATTTGAACACAGCTTCTCAGTTCTTGTGTTTGTTGTGCTTTTGTGGAAAGACGTGTCTCCCTTTTCTTCTATAACGTGAAACATCGCAGTGCTTAGAGAAGTGTAGTTGTTTTCCCCCATTTTGCTTTTATACCCTTAATTTGTCTTCAGGTGAAAAATGTGTTTAACAGCAGAGAAAACCATTAAAATATTTGGTTTCATCACAGAGTATTATCTAGAGGCAGAAAATGTGTTGCACCTGAAGCCCTTCTCACTACTTCTGTATTTACGGATGGAAGCAGCGCCTCTCATTCATGAACACGCACCTCCAGCTGGCCAACAGAGCTAAAACACACTTTTTTTTACAATTATTATTCTCACATTATGCTGTTTATTCATATATGCATGTATTTATTATTTTGAAGACTTACTTGTTCACAAATGTTGCCAACTCTGCATCAGTCTAGGTCAGGTGTGTGGTCCTCGAGAGCCCCTATCCAGCATGTTTTAGAAGTTTCCCTGTTTCAACACACCTGATTTGAATCAGTGGTGATTAGCAGCTGTCTGGAGAGCCTGGGTAGCTGTTGAACTGGTGATTCAGCCACTGAATTAGCAGGGTGAGATATAAAACATAGGATACATAGGATAGGACCTTGAGGACCAGGGTTGGGCACACCTGATCTAGGTACTTCAGCAAACAAACATACAAAATTCCTGAGGGGAGAAAACTCCATAATGCTGCTTTAGGTCCCTCCAGCATTAGGATACACGAAATATGACATTTATTCATATTTCAGAGTTGAGATCGTCTTCAGTAACAGAAACGCACACACACATTACAGATTGATTTTAGAACTAAGCTTTCTCCAGCAGGTGTACTGTTACCTTTCCATGACCCCATCCACAACATTCAAGGATCAAAGTTCAAACCACTTCAGAAACAACCTTCATCTCTAAATACGCTGCTGTCGACAGAGCCTTCAGTGCTGAAGCTACGAGTGCACGTTCCACTGCCTTAGAGCTGGTATTGAACATTTCCAGGGAGGCGTGTTTGATTTGGAAGACGAGGTAGATGGGGGAGAAATGCGATCTTCATCTTCTGCTGAAAGAAACACTCCAGTTGAAGGAGAAACTTTTTTGTCCAACAAAACAGCTGTTGGGGTTACAACTGGCATGTTGGAGCATTCTCACAACTAAAATCACGTTTCCAGAGTGCTGGGATCCAATTGTACTGTTAACACGTTGGTGAAGTCGACTAAAGAGCCAAGTTTAAAACTAAACTCCACAGAGACAGTTTCAGGCTTTCTGCCACGACCTATCCTGTACAAAACCCCTGAGTCTATTGCACCAACTGTGCAAAGATGTGCTTATTGACAAGGCAGAAGGAGAGAAACATGGAAGCTATAGAGCTGATTACATGCAGGAGATTTGCTCTGACTGACACCTTCATCAGAATCCTTGAAATACCCACAGACTCTTATTGTACATTCATGCACACACTGCAGACCCAAGTGTCCGTGTAATTAGAACTGAACCCATTACCTTGTTTGCAGGAGAACATGCAGATGTGGAAAGAATAAATGAGTTTTAGGTTTGATTAGAAATCAAAATTTGCAGAAAATCATTTTTCTTCCTTTGCTTCTGATCTCTCTCTTATACTTCCAGGTCCCACGCCCTTTAAATTATTGATTTGATCAGGTGTGTTAAATTAGTCACCTGGGATTATGTAGAACATGAATATTAATTTATGCAGCCAAAGTCCCAGCTGGTGTTTTCCAATTTCCCACACTGTCGAGCTCCTCACTGGATGCTAATTGACACAGAAAAGCTTAAGGACCTGAGTGTTTCTGCCTGGATTCAGAAAAAAGATGGACGTCGGTGTGAGCTCACTCAAACATCTTTCTCTTTGGATCGTTGCCATAGTAACCAAGTCAGATGCCATTTATAAGGTTGTCTCCATAATCGTTTTTGACCTTTTGAGTCATCGTTTGTACAATGCTGAACATATTTTAAAGTGCTTTGATTTGAATGTTGTGCTTTTAAGATCAGTAAAATTCCAAAATTGCAAAGCTCGGGTAGCAAATTGCTATTCAGTCTTTTATTTATTACATTTTTTCTTTTTGGAAAAAGGGAGATTTTCTAGTAATTTAGCCGTTTATGTAGACAGCTCTGCCTCACTCCGTCAGAATCTGCACGTGTGCACCTTTTATTAGATTAGATTGAACAAGAAGCTGATACCTTCAGACCGCCTTCTGAACCAGTTCAGTCATAATACACCTAACAATGATCAGCTGTTCAATACTGGTTTGCATCTACAGTAAGCAGATGATGATGATATACTTGCACAGAAGCCCCCACATTGGAATCTAATGTTTTGCTCCATTTACTGCCCCCTACTGGTAGAGTATGGGATGACAAACTTTAACAATGTTTAATAATTTACTGTTTTCTGTTACATACGCCACAGTCAAACGGCTTTTGTTCACCTGAGTAGACATTTGAAATACTTTTAAAGCGATAGATATTTTTCATGCCAACACATAAAAAAATCATAACACACACTACATGTATGAATGAGTTTAAAATGTCTGCACTCCCTTTCCTCATATTTCAGAGAAAGAACTAGTTGAAATTGAGGTAATTAGTAAAAATGGTAGACCAAAAAAGTCAGCTGATGGTCAGAATTGGCCATATTTGATGATGATTGGTTTAATATGATATCCGTCAATCTGTGATTCGAAAATCTGGATTATTAAAAAAAAATCAGTTCTTCCATGCAATTTTTTCTACAATCACATTTTTCATGCTGATCATTTTATTCTGTTGATTATATTTTTTAAGATAAAGCATAATTTGTCAAAATGAGCAGGTCAGAGCTGTAACAGTAGTAGAAATCGTCAGTACCAGCCCCTCAAAACTCAGATTTTAGGAAATTTAACTAAACATATTTTTTACAGTAAGCTGTTTAATGAGGAAATAACCCATTGTGGTGTTTAGGTGTGCACTTAAAGAACATCTTGTTTTCAACCATAATAATCTGGCACAATAGCATGCAAATCCCCTGCAAAGCCTAGAAAATGCCAGACCTTGCAGCAGAGATGCATCTAGATTTCACCAGAAGCCTCCGTTGTAGCTGCAGGCGTCCTGAGTTGGAACCCAACTAAGCCCAGACCCTGGACAGTCCCCTGGGATTAGAGGTTGTGGTAGAATGAACCAATGCTCACCTTCCACCTTAATGGACTTCAACCAACTTAAATAGATTGAAACCTCTGATGTAGTGCTGTTGTCGTTGGAGGGGGGGGGGGGGGGGGGGGGGGGCTCCCATTGTTGAAACTCCATGCAGCAATGTCCTACTGCAATTACCTTGGCTTTGTGCGCTGGAGATCCTGCGTGTGATTCTTGCTCCGTAGAAGGTAATTGGATTTTGTTCTTTTTGTGGACTCGCCGTCACTCGTTCCCTGCTCCGTATGTTAATGTCCACGGAGCAGCAATCATAGACATACATGGGAAAGCAGGGATGTATTGTGGTGTGGAGGATTGGGGGTCAGTGTTCGATGGAGCAGAACTGCAGACGGTGTCACCAGAAACACGGTGTCAGTCCGTGTTCATTAAACATAGATTCTATGAAATTGGATCTTTAGTTCAGTGAATCGTCCAACAGCAGAGAAGATAAAGCGACTCAACGATCTAAGCTTATATAAACATTTGTTCTCAATAAAGGTTCTGGCAATAGAAACGTGTTCATTAAAACAGAATTAACTGCAGATAAAAGGAAAACCCTTAATCGTGCATCTCAGATATTGAACCATTAATCAGCTTTGATGCATTTAAACATTTGCTGCAGGTAGAAGGACAATGTCGATTTTCCAGTTGGTTTTAAAAACAGCCTTCTGAAACCAGAGCTTTAAAAACAAATTGCAACTGTCATGAAAGCTTTATTTGCAGCACTCTAACGTGAAATCAAATCCTTTTTAGATATGAGACTTTATTCTGACACTGAAGGCCAAGAAACGTCATTTTAGAGCAGTAAATAAAAGTCCAAGTTTTGTTGAAACAGGGATGCTTAAAGGATCCTGATGTGTGATTTAAAGTAAAGCAAGTAAGCCAAGATAAACTGATAAACTTTTTATTTTCTATGTTTACCTGTTTCTGACTTTAAACAGTCATTCTTTATGTTTACAGAAGCATCCCTGTAGTTTTTTGTTCAGTTTTCTCTCACTTTAAATGAATTTTCTG